CAACTCCTCTCTCTTATTTTTTCATCAACTTACAACCTACAGGTATTCAAATTTAGGACATATACATACTGTATCTCTTACCAACATGTATTTTAATATTGCATGTAAGTGGTGTACTCGACAAGGGTAGTTTGAATTTAGGTACAGTAATTGTCAACTTTAAGTGTCCAAAGAGCAAACTGCCATGTGTACTTCTCTCTCTCAAATATAAATACCTTATCTATATAAAGAAAGTTGAGGCTCATAATGCCAGTTGTTCATCATGCATGTGAGGGTAACCATCAGTTTACCAAGAACCTTCTGAATCAAAATACTGTATGCCGAGGAATGTCATCCCCCATGACTCAAATTCAGAAAGTATGGCAAAATATATAATATACATGTGAAGTCAAACCATTCATAAAAAAAAAAAAATCAACAATGGGCCAAAGATATCCTTGTATGGACCCCACAATATATGAGAGGGACAATAATAACAAAACAGCAATTACAAAGTGAACAGAAAACACAACATTACCAAGTTTGAAATGAAATGAATAATGAGCAAGGAGGGCAGCTCAAATACAGATGATTTTGAAACCATGGGCTAGACCTTCAACTTGATGGATGGACTGGCTGATATTGATGATAAATTCTGAATATATAATCAAAATCAAGTGTATTGTTTCATATATGATGGATAACCAAATCCTTGTGCTGAGGTGTTAGTTGGTCTAGCCAGGGACAGTAAGCCCACCACACTATGTAACATCCTGCTAATTTACTTTACAATGAGGGTTAAAGCCTCAGTTCCTTCACCTAAACACTCATACCGAAACTCTAAAACAATAGTGGTCAGTTATACTACAAACTTTCTATTTGTCTTTAGCATATCATTTTAACTCCTCTCCTACTTTTGGAAAGGTGGGAGAGAAAGATGTAAGAGAAGTGTGTAAAGTGAGAGGAGAAGACTAAGCTACAAACTAGAATACACTAGACTCTCGTTAATTTGACAGAAAAAGAGACTGGGTCACTTGAATTACCAAAAATTCCAAATTAACCGACTTCGCAATATTTTGACATTGTTCGACAATTTTCGATTATTTTTTTGGTGTTCGATTATTTGTTTCTTTTTGGTTCAGTTTTTGCACCTATCCATGCCTTGGCTGTCGCCAAATAATCAATTTATAATTACTGTGCGAATATAAATATTTCTTTAAATGTACATACTGGTACAGGAATAAACAAATGTAACACTGAGGTGGGCAGTGAGGCGAGGTGACATGATAAGGCACTTAAACAGCACTACTAAACCATTGTATTATAACATTTTATTTTATAATTTCTATTTGAAAAGTAATTGATACATGATGGCTCGATTTGGCTACTTTTGTACTCAGATAACTGATCAGTGAATAAACCAGGGCATATGGAAATTCATTAGTTCTGATAAATATGCTACAAAAATATTTACTCAGTGCTCAAGACAGATCCTGTGGTAAGGACCAACCCTCTTGAACAGTCACAACAACGGTGCTTGAAAGATGGCGAGTGCTGACAACATTATTACAGAGAGCAGGTCAGGGGGAACGATCGACCGTTACCGCTCTATAAACAAGAGAAGAATATTCCACGGCACAGTAGCTCATCTGGAATTGAGTGTGGGATTTTGGGGGCAAAATAATTATTTTCTGATGTTTTATTAACCCGGCAGCAAATGAACCTAAATAATAGGGGAATTATTGTGAAATTACATAATGTTGTTATAAAGAGATCGCGGGAGGAGAGTTGTCTTCGCCTCCCTCCTCTCTTGGGATATGCACCCAAACATGGTTTTGGACAGTATCTTAATATAATTCATATTATATTCTTATAATTCATTCATCTTAATCTGTTTCATAATATATTCCTCTAGTAATAATCAACTTTATGGAAACGCTCGGTAATTTCAAATTCATTCCAAATTAAAATTGTTTAATTATTTTTTTTAAAAACACACGAATTAAGCTGAAATCCGAATTATAATAATCTGAATTAACGAGGGTACAGTGTACAATTATAACCCTTCAGATGATCTATTACCAAAACAAAGTACTGTAACTCTTCAATTCTCTGGAGAAGTTTGTAACTGCATCTACCAGCCCAATTCAATGAAAATTTTAGTGACAATTTAAAATATCTCCATACTCACCTCTGGGGTGAGAGAATGATTACCGATGCCACCTGGGAAGTAAATCTGAATAAGATTGGGAAAAGGTGTTCCACTAGACATAATAATGGTTTCTAGCTCATAAATTTTATTATTTAACTCCAAAATTCAATGTGCACAGTAGGGTGTTCACACATACCCAAGGTGAACGGATAAGATACATCCTACAGCCCACTCCAAATTAAAAATGCTTACTCAAACAAGCAAGGTATAGTACTCAACTGGATATACAGTGATCCCTCGGTTAATGAAATTTCGGTTAACGAATTACCTTCCATAAGATTCTTCACTTCGGTTAACGAGCAAACCCTCGGTTAACGAATTCCTTACGAATTTTTCCCAACATGTTTTCGCTGCCCACCAGCTGTAGTATTAGTCCGCCAATACAGTCATCGGTTTTAGGGCTTAAATTCCTTACCATTTTAGTAAATATCAAGAAGGTTGTACTATTCAATAATTTTTAAAGTTTTATATTAAATTTTTCAGTAATTTTAGCAATTATTGAACATAATTGAAATACAGGAAGCTAGTTTTTTGCGCGCCAAACAGCCATTCAACAAACCTAGCTTGGTGTCAGTTTGTTTACCAGTTCAGAGGAAGGAACATCTTGTTTGAGACTCTTCAACTAAATACTTTTTTTCTGTGTTTACAAGCAAATTATTAGTCATTTTGACATTTATTTTACACATTGACAATATATAATGCAGTGCAGTGTTGATTTAAAGACAATAATCTTGAATTACACCATGAGAACTAAAATTTTATGGGTGAAATGGCAGCATGGGGTGACTTCTCTTCCACCCCAATGCCTTCTCTTCTCCCTTCTCCTCCACCCCCATTCTAATTCCCATCATCATCATCATCATCAACCAGGACCCTTCTACATGCACACCTCAAAGTAAGTGTACTTTACCGCATTTATTTTTAGTTTGTATGTAATTTTCGGTGAGCTGGAACCAATTACCCAAAATCCCATTGAAACAATGGTTTCGGTTAACGAATTTTTCGGTTAACGAGCAACCTTCTGGAACGAATTGTGCTCGTTAAGCGAGGGACCACTGTATTTGATCCTACCATTCTTAAAATGCTCACAGGACATAAAGTAAAAGAAAAAGGAAAGAAAGAAAAAAATATTTCTAAAAATTAAGACTTACATGGGAGACTAAGCAATGAGTTACAAATGCTAATAAGTTAACATAAAAGTTAAACTCTACTGTAATTTTAATTTTTTTATCAAAAAGCTACAAAATCCTTAATTATTTCTACATCTCTCAAAATTCATTATCAAAGACCTCATTATTATTCAAATAATTAACATGTCAACAATGAAAATGTATAACTACAGTATTGTATTACAAATACTGTACACTCAAACCTTGCTAATTCAACATCCTTGGGGCTTTAACCCATTCAAATTACCAGGAGAATATAAATTTGTTGAATGCACTTAATGTTGTTTAGATTACACGTGTTGGAACTGTAGGAGGACCAAACTAAGACATTACAGTGGTCCCTCAGTTAACAAGCACAATCCGTTCTAGAAGGTTGCTCGTTAACCGAAAAACTCGTTAACCGAAACCATTGTTTCAATGGGTTTTTGGGTAATTGGTTCCAGCTCACTGAAAATTGTCTAAATTCAACAAAAAAGGTAGAAAAGTACACTTACTTTGAGGTGTGTATGTAGAAGGCTCCTGGATGATGATGATGTTGGGAATTAGAATGGGGGTGGAGGAGAAGGGAGAAGAGAAGGCATTGGGGTGGAAGAGAAGTCACCCCATGGTGCCATTTCACCCATAAAATTTTAGTTCTCTTGGTGGAATTCAAGTTTATTTTCTTTAAATCAACACTGCACTGCATTATATATTGTCAATGTGTAAAATAAATGTCAAAATGACTAATAATTTGCTTGTAAACACAGAAAAAAAGCATTTAGTTGAAGAGAGTCTCAAGCAAGATGTTACCTCCACTGAAAAGACACAAAGACTGACGCCTGTATGCTGTGTTGGCAGGCTGGATGGCGTGCCACAAACTAGTGACCCTACCTTCAATTATGTTCAATAATTGTTAAAATGACTAAAAAATTGAATATTAAACTTTTAAAATTATTGAATAGTATAAACTTGATATTTACTAAAAGGGCAAGAAATTTAAGCCCTAGAACCGATTACTGTATTGGCGGACTAATACTACAGCTGGTGGACCGCCAAATGCAAGCTAAAACATATGGAGGTCGGCTCGTAAGAAACTCGTTAATCGAGGGATTGCTCGTAAACCGAAGTTAAGAATCCTATGGAAAGTAACTCGTTAACCGAGGCGCTCGTTAACCGAGGGACCACTGTACTAGAAAAACAGGGACTGTATGTACCAGAGTGGGGATCGGGTCAAGTGTGCAGTTCACCCTGACTTAAGTTGGACCTGACAGTGTTGTGAAGAATGTTATTGGTTTATATTGTAGATAATACTTATAAAAAAAAGTGTACATTACATCTCCTCCCTATTATTCTAAGCCAGTAGTGGTTGTACAGGAGGATGACATATCTAGTTTATCTGAACTTCCACAAAGAACGTGTTTATGAAACAGAAGTGTGATGGAATGCTCAAATTGGTGCCCTAGTAGGCAAACACCTAGGTCAATTTTACACAAACTTTGAATAAATCATACAATTTGCAGAAATCTTTTCCAATTTTTTTAAATATTTTGTCATAAAAAAGTGTACAAATTAGCAAGTACAATACTTCAAATTAGTGGAGGCTGAATTAGTGAGGTTCTACTGTACTTCTTCTGACTACCATAGCTTTAAGATTTATTTACCCAGCTCTGTTTGGAGCATTTTGTCTTCTTGCTCCTCTTCTCCTTCCTCTTCTTCCCCTTTGTGTTGCTGCTGCAGCCTGGGCCAAAGAGCATACTTCTATTTCAGCTGGAAGAAAATAATTGAATTAATTAATTACTAATTAATTACAGTACAGAGTACCCATACTACTGCAATAATAATAATAATAATAATAATAATAATAATAATAATACAGTGATCCCTCGGTTAACGAAATTTCAGTTAACAAATTACCTTCAATAAGATTCTTAACTTCAGTTAACGAGCAATCCCTCGAATAACGAATTCCTTACGAGCGCCCCTCAACATGTTTTCGCTTGCACACTTGCGGTCATATTAGTCCGCCAATACAGTAATCGGTTCCATGACTTAAATTCCTTTTTATTTTAGTAAATATCAAGAAGTTTGTACTATTCAATAATTTTAAAAGTCTTATATTAAATTTTTTAGTCATTTTAACAATTATTTAACATAATTTAAGTACAGGAAACTAGTTTTCTGCACGCCAAACAGCCTGTCAACACACCATACAGGCATCAGTTTCTGTGTCTTTTCGGTGGAGGTAACATCTTGCTTCAGACTCTCATCAACATAAACGCTTTTTTTCTGTGTTTCCAGTCAAATTATTGGTCGTTTTGAAATATATTTTACATATTTATAATACATAATGCAGTGCAGTGTTGATTTAAAGAAAATAATCTTGAATTACACCAAGTGAACTAAAATTTTATGGGTGAAATGGCAGCATGGGGTGACTTCTCTTCCACCCCAATGCCTTCTCTTCTCCCTACTCCTCCATCCCCATTCTAATTCTCATCATCATCATCATCAACCAGGAGCCTTCTACAAACACACCTCAAAGTAAGTGTACTTTACTGCATTTATTTTTAGTTTGTATGTAATTATCTGTGAGCTGGAACCAATTACCCAAAAACCCATTGAAACAATGGTTTCGGTTAACGAATTTTTCGGTTAACAAGCAACCTTCTGGAACGAATTGTGCTCGTTAACCGAGGGACTATGGTAATAACAACAATAATAATAATAATAGTGAAAACTTTAAGACATAAAAATCTTTGTAATTTATGAATTATAATATTTGTAATTTTATATGGACAACACCAAAACAGAAAACACTCATTAACCCTTGGGCTTCGGGCTATTCTAGTCTTACAAACTGGCCATGCCTGATATAAACAGGAAATATATAGATGTCCTTCTCGCAGGTTGGTAACACTAAGGCAAGGAAGAGTCGTGTGTGTGTGTGTGTGTGCGTGTGTGTGCGTGTGTGGACCCCCACCACCCCAGAAAAACCTTGAACTTGGACCAAGTCACGATAATGTGAAGGAAATCATCGAGTTGGGGGAGAAAATTAAGCTCATCCTTGACAAAGACACAGTCAAGCATCGGTATGAAGTGTCTAATAACCTTCTGTCGAAAGTTATGGAGCCGTATATCCAGATCTATCTCGACAACATCAATGCTAGTCGTCAACGTAGTATCGAAGACTTCCTCTCCCGCAACCCACCACAACCACAGCCAGCCCAAGTCAGTGATAGTGACGATATGGACTTTGAGGGGTTTGTCTGGGAGGCCCTGCAAACCTCTGCGAGTAGTGAAAGTGAAAGTGATTCACCGGAGGGCAACTAATCTGCCCTCTGCCTCGGAACTAGCCACCATCCACGTGTGCCGACCCAGCTTTTCTACTAACGTAAGTGTTAAAAAACCTAATATTATTGATATTTCTCTTAATTATTAATTGTGTGCATACCATCATAAAATTAAGATGTTATTTTTACTACAACATACGTATTGTGTCGGAAAAAGTGGAGTTTGGGGGTCGGCCCAGTCTCTATTTCAATTAATCCCATGTTGTTATTTCATTTACGCGTTTCTCGTTTTACGTGGACCTCCACGGGTTCAATTGACCGCGTAAATGCAGACTATACTGTATAATAATTAAGAAAGATGCTTAACCCTTAGAGCCCGGGGAACATTCCTTTACGCCCATCATAGCAACACCAAGGAGACATTCCTTTATGCCCACCATAGCAACACCAGGGAGACATTCCTTTACGCCCACCATAGCAACACCAGGGAGACATTCCTTTACGCCCACCATAGCAACACCAGGGAGACATTCTTTTACGCCCACCATAGCAACACCAGGGAGACATTCTTCTACGTATTTAATTTTCACGGCATAGTTTGAATCTCCAGGCAGGACGTAGTACTTAGTAAATGATATTTATTTATTTGGCTACTCAACTCGCCCATAATCTTTGTCTCAAGTCTAGTGGTCCAGTTACTCACCACCTCGCTCCTCTGAGTGGCATTGACATAGTATCAGTTTAGGAAACGGACCTCAATGACGTCAAGTTCATTGAGGCAGCCAGCGGGGAAGACAGCGATACATATAATGGGACTCACACCTCCTCCCCATCCCCTCAATGAGGTCGTGGGCACAGTGCACACCAGTTACAACAGTACACTTTGAGTGACTGCACTAATTTTATTCCTGAAATGCCAGTTTTCAACTGTGGCTCAAAAAAAAAAATAAAATAAAAAATCAACAAAATATGTCTGCATGGGTGTCCACCGGGTCTTACATTACCTGGAACAAAAGGGTTAATCCTAGTCACAGGAATATGCCTAATCTATAGTGTCACAGGCACAATACCTTTTCTCTCAGCAACAATATCTGCTCTCTTCTTCTTCATTTCTTCAGACAGAGTTGGCACAATTTTTTCAATGAAATTATCTACAACTAAAGATCGTGTCTCTGACGTTATGGAAGCACGACAGTTTGGACACTCTCGCTTGTTTTTCTTCCACCGGTCGATGCAATATCTACAGAACGTGTGACTGCAGTTCAACGTTATGGCCTGAAATGTTTAATTTCTTTCACTCAATTGAATACTGAACATATACTTTTTTTCACCTAAATTCATATTCAATCCATTTAAATTCATTACTATTTTCCTTAAGTGTTTCATAAAACATTTAATTCTAGTTTTACTTACAGTAATGAGGAGTTCATTGCAGATAGAGCACTGAAGCTCATTCTCTAAGACGCCAGAGACAGACTCCACCACTTCCTCCCTCGCATATTTTGTTGCAACAGCTGTTGACTCAAGTTCCTGTTCTAAGGACATATTTTGGGCTTCCAGGGTTTGCAATTCATTTTGTAAGCCACTTAACTGAGAAAGATATAACAGAATCAACCTTAAGAATATTATTCTTAATCAACTATATACTGTACTTCATCTATGTACTATTTTCCATCAGCCATTAAACTATCTGTTAACCACATACTATGCATCACCCATACACTATCTATCACCCGAAACTATTTAACATTCACAATCTATCAACTAGGAAGTTCAGTGCATTTATGCACAATTTAAGTTTCTACTTTCAACATGGAGGAATGCACAGCCACTATTTTTCTTTAAGGTTCAACTTTTAAGGAATTGTTAAAAATACATATTCATCTATATAACAAAATGTACGACAAGTTCCGGCCGACTTTAAAGAGAGCCCTGTTAACATTACAGTAAGTCCTCGTCTAACGTTGCCCCCAACAACGTTGTTTTGTTATAACGTCGATAATCTTTAAATACCCATGATTCTGACGTCCCGCAGATTCGGTATAACAACGTCATGGACTATTTTGTACGGCACATCACCCTCTCTCACCCAGTCAGAGCGGGAGGAGCAGCCACCCTCCGGGTCTCAGTCACTCGCCGCCCTTCTCCTCTCCACTACCCACCCACACATTCGCTAAATCTCCGCCCAACAGTGAGTACAATACAAAATGATTTAGTTTATTTATCGTTTGGATGTAGAATATAAAATATTTTCTATTAAAATTCCATTAAATTTATGTATATGTAATGTATTTCATGGTTCAAAGGGAAGCTGGGGAACGTAACTCCCGTATTTTATCTATTTCTTTTGGGGAAAATTAATTCCGTTAACGCTGTTTCCGCTAACGTCGCGGTTTTCAGGAACGGAACAACGACGTTAAGCGAGGACTTACTGTATTACAATGTGTGTGCAAATTCTTACAAAAATACTTCCTCTTGCCATCTTTCAGAAAAAAGGTCGAATCTCGCTATAATGAACACTCGATGGCTGTAGATTTATCCACTTCTGCTGTTACTGGTGATATATGCATCTGAATAAAGAACCCCCTTTCATTCACAATTTTAACCAAAGCTCTTCATCTATTTCATAACTCTTGGGATTGCATGAAGCTATTTCACTTGGTAATTAAAAACCTAATGCTACCTGGTAGGGGGGGGGTAGGTTAGTTAAGGTAAGCATCAGGTTCGGTTATGATAAGTTAGCATTAAGGTGTTTAATTATCAGATGATAAAGCTACGGTGGCTAATCTTACATGACCCCGCTCTCACAAGCCTCTTTCTTTTATGATTTATGGCAGCTGGAATCAAGACCAACCATAACATCTCACTCAATTTCTTGTCAGTCATGCTCTCTAACCACCGTATGTGTTCTGCAAGTGTTCCCTTTACAGAGGAACCTCAAGTATCCATCTGGTTTATCCCTGGCACTTGACTGAACTCAGCATAACAAATCATATATCCATAAACTATTCAATGCCATACTTTCTAGTCATCCACTTACATGAGCATTAATAAACTGACCTGATATAATGAACTGATAAATCTACATCACTTACCAATTCAGTACGCAACGACTCTTCCTTCTCTTTCAGCATAGAGCCAAGAAGGAAATTTTTCCGCTCTTTTTCTACATAATGATTTTTAACGCTTTCTAGTTCCTTTGCAAGTCTGAGTCGCTCCTTTGCCAACTCATCTTCCAACCTTTCTTTCTCCTGTTCTGCCTTCTTCTTTTCAACTTCTTTAGCAAGGATTGCAGATTCTTTGGCTTCTAACTGTCAAAATTTATGAAACAATGAATACTTAGGCTTCAAGAAACTACTATACTCTTCAGTGATACCACTGTTAGCCAGAATAATGTGGTTATTATTCTATGTAGTTACACAGCAAAATGTCTTTACTGTTTACTGAACGAGGTCCAGATCAACCACTTTTTGGATTAGTGAATTCCTCAGAAAAAATAAAATAAAATAAATAAATAAAAAATGGAAATCATAAATTGGAAAAAAATTCTCTTGCAATAGCAAGTTTGTGAATACCATGTCTGTCCTTATAATGATCAAACCACCTGAGAGAGAATTAGCTTGCTTCAACAACTTCCACAAGGTCATAAAACTGACTGACTTTCTTTTCAATGAGCACTTCAGAAAGTAGCTTTTCTCAATGTGCTGCTGTATTGACAAACAAGCTAACTCTCTGTCTCATTGGCATCAAAACAACATAAGATCTCTAATAGTATAATGCTGGAGATAATATGAAATGCAATGATCACTTTTTGGAAGCCATGGCTAACAACAGGAACACAGGTCTGGTAGGTGATGGTACTAACACGACTTGCTGAATCACAAGAATAAATGGGTTGAAGATAGGATTTCCAGAGACTGACAAATAATATGATTTAAGTCTAAGCTAACATCATCTTAACATAGTGAAAATCATCACAAAAATATACCCTAAAATAGGATATCACTAACAATATTTTTCAGTCTTTCTGTGTACACAAACAGTAATTATTAAAACCAGCAAAAATCATTCGCTACACAAAAATGTGAACATAATACCTGCTGTCGTAATTCTTCTTTGTGATACTCTGTCGCCTCAAGTTGCTCCTGCAGACGATGGCGTTCTTCTTCTAATACACGCTCAAGGTTGGCCTTTTCCTCTTCTAACTGATGGAGCACTTTCTCCTGCAAATTGGGTTTGAAGTATCACTAAATCACAATTACTTTAAATGACTTTCCACTTCAATGGCTTTTATTAAAAAAAATAAAATAAAAATATCGTAAAAGTTTATCTACCAAAGAAATTTCTTTTAAAAACTTAAATAAGCAATCTACCACAGGTCAGAGTTTGTTTACCTTTTCTTGGAGAATGTGATTTCTCTGCTCTTCTTCCAACCTTAATTGATCTTCCAATGTTTTTCGATCTTCATCCAAACGACCTTGAAGCTTCTTCACCTGTTGGGTCACATAACATGTAGTTCCAGTAAACTGTTAGCTACTGATGCACACCTGACATAATAAGATGTACAGTGAAATTTTTTTAACCTGTATCCTTTTATTATCCAATTACCGTATATACCCGGTTATAGCACGAGTTCTTAAGACCAAATTTTTTGGCAAAAAGTTGGGGGTCGACCTCTATACGGGTAATAGTTTCGTTAGGTTGAAAAATATTTACCAGTAACTACCAGTAAACAATGGAAACGATGCACCAATGCACCACCCGCTGTGAGTGTCGGTACAGTTGCCAGAGCAGATCTCTTGCGTCATCATAGCAAGCCCAAAGTAGCCAAATGCATGGTATGGTATGCACAAGAGTATGTAAAACATAAAGTATTCTTTTTTAAAATTTTATTTATAGATACATAAATTTTTGTTAATTAAATTTGAAACATCAATCTTTGTTAATTAAATTTGAAACAAAAGAAAAATGATGCCTTATTTATAAATATTTTCATTAAAATATTACATCACAAGTATATTTTACCTTAACTGTGCCTGAATGAATATATTCTCAGAAATAAATATGGAAATGTAATATTTTTGCTGAAATGACGTACGTATTACAGTGGAAAGTGGGATAAAATTGTGACGAAAACAATGACTCACTTTCTTTCGTCGTTCAAAAGATTTTACCGTAATCACTTTTCGAATGGTTTTCAGTTAAAAAACTGTTGTATTACAATAATATTCTATCCTAATTGACTTGAATAAATACTACGATACCATATTTCTGAATATTTTCATTAAAATCCATCAAAATCAATTTCCTTATCATCTGCAGCGCCAAACAGCTCCTCCCAGTCCTCTCCTTGAACAGCATCGTCATATGGATCAACACCATCATCAGCCATAGGATCATCAATATCTTCATCCTCATTCACGCTCTCATTAGCCTCATAATCCCACAACAAGTCGTCTTCTGTTCCATCAAGAGCATTCGAAATCCCACATTTCTTAAAAGATTTCACCACAATTTCTGGTCTGATTGCATCCCAGGCCTCTACAATCCATTCACATAATGTTGCTAGTGATGGAGCTTGGATGTTGCCTCCCTTTGTGTATGTCTTATCGCCTTCTATCATCCAGTTGTTCCACTTCACTCTTACCGCATCTTTAAATGGTTTGTTTATGGAAACATTCAGTGGTTGGACAAGACTTGTTAATCCACCAGGAATCACAGCTGTATCAGTGTTTTCCTTCCTAATCCCAGCAGTAACGCTGTCAACAAGATGTGACCGAAACATATCCCACACAAAAAGACTTTTTTCTTTGCGCAATCCCCCTGGTCTAAAGTTCCAGACTTTTTTAAGCCATATTTGTATGCTGCCTTCATCCATCCATCCTTTCTCGTGCACATGGATGATTAAAAAAATGCTGTCTGACTTGCAACACTGTTGGTAGGGTCAGGTGGTTCTAACGGCACCTGCCAGGACCCGGTAATCAAATTTATAACAGTGTCTAACCTCAATTACTGTAGTTTATCTGATGTAGGCAATATGAAGTAAAAAATGCCAGTTAAAGTGAGAAATTGGAAGAGAATAAACAAGAAAGATGTCGTTGGGCTATTTTTGGTAGGGCTGAGGGAGAGAGTACCAGCTGTTTGGTCTTTTTTGGCGGGAGAGTCACGCAAATAACCATAGTGCTGGTATTTGTTTGATGTCTTCTGTATTTTTAAAAATGAATACTTGTAAATTAAAAGTACCATAACATTGTATTATATACAAACTTGTCATATTTATGGAAAATAAGAAGCAAGAAAATAAGAATATACCGGTAAACACAATTTCAACGTACGCTAAAATTAAAAGCTGCTTAAGAAGGGCCGACGCAAACACAAAGCCTCCGCGACCAGGGCTCTGCCGTATCAGCTAGACGGTACATGTGTTTTTCGAATCGTTTTCAGTTAAAAAACTGTTACATCACAAGTGAATTAGGATAGAATATTATTGTAATACAACAGTTTTTAACTGAAAACCATTCAAAAAGCGATTACGGTAACATCTTTTCAACGAAAGAAAGCGAAAGTCATTGTTTTTGTCACGATTTTATCCCACTTTCCAGTATAATACGCACGTCATTTCAGCAAAAATATTACATTTCCATATTCTCGGAAATAAATAGTAGTTTTGCCGAAACGTGATGTATTTCAATGTAAATTAGGATAAACTACATGATGAAAACAAAAGACTTTACCAAACCTTCTGATGTTCAAGATATGTTACTCGTTTTTTTAATAGTTTTCAGTTAAAATACTGTTATATTAGTGATATTCTATTTATACTGTGGTTGATATAATACATTCACGGAAATGTAATATTTTTTGCTGAAATGACGTACGTATTACAGTGGAAAGTGGGATAAAATTGTGACGAAAACAATGACTTTTGCTTTCTTTCGTTCAAAATATGTTACCGTAATCGCTTTTCGAATGGTTTTCAGTTAAAAACTGTTGTATTACAATAATATTCTATCCTAATTCACTTGAATAAATACTTGAATGGAAATATACAATATTTTTGTTGAAACTACCCGCGTTTCAGTGTAAAGTGTCGGAATAATAAATGGTAAACAAGTTTATAGGATGTAGTGTTTTTCTGAAGGTTTTGTTGTTCCTTTACCCTCAAAAACTTGGGTCGACCTATAAACGAGGAATTTCATAAATTAACGATTTCTTGGTCAAAAAATCGGGGTCGACCTATATACGAAGGGGGGTTATAGACGAGTATATACAGTAAATTAACAAAACTATCATCTACCAGTGCTGCACAGTGTACAGTCTTTAGGTCAAAATTTTCACATATGCTTCAAAAATCAAAGTTAAATTTTATTTTATACAGTATATAACAGGGGTGGCCAAACTCTGGCTCAAGAGCCGCATGCAGCTCTTTGACACTCAATGTGCGGCTCACCTCCTTTTTGCGTCATAATTAACATTAAAGGTACAGCACCGGTAAATAAGAAAAATGTTTGAGCTTTATATTTATAAACTAAGACTCGACTGGTTGAAAACCTAAGTTAAACATTCAAGGCGAGTACAAATATTTAAGAATTTAACTCTTAATTTTAATGCTAGATCTGGGTCAGGTGTCGTTCATCAGTGCTGAGGGGAGGGATGGTGGGAGGTAAAGGGATTAAAGAAGTTTCAGATCAGCAAATCTCCGATCAGTTAATTTAAGGTCAGCAGAGGGATTACGGAGGAATGTCAGAGGGAGGAGCAAGGGGATGGGCCTGGAAGGTCAGGGCTCGGCCTCACGTCATGACATGTACATTAACACAGCGTAACATATGACTTTGAACTGTGCAGATCCAGTTGGTACACTCAGGATATAAATTATGTTTACAGTTCACAAGACTAAGTTGTTTTTAAATACTGTTAAATATATTTGAGAGCACTGTCTGGGAAAATTTTGTGAAGGAAAATGGCATCATCAAATTGTAAGAAGTGAAAGTATGAAGATGAAAACAGAAATTTTAAGCCAGAGTGGGTGGAAGATTTTGCATTCACCGATAAAGGAGACAAACCTTTGCGCCTTATCTGCAATGTGTCACTCACTCACTATAAAGCCAGTAACTTGAAACGCCACTACGAAGCAAATCACAAAATTTTTTCGTGTGATTATCCACCTAAATCAAAATTACAGAAAAACAAGCTGTGTTAAAATCATCACTAAATAGCCAGCGGACACTGTTGACAACTGAAGCTAGTTTTGTTATTTCATGGAATATTGCTCATGCTAGACGCCCATATTCTGATGGAGAATTTGTTAAGAAGAATATAGCTGAAGTTGTTGCAGTGTTAGATCCCAATAACACAAAACTTCAGCGACCAATAGCACAAACTCCAGTTTCACGCCACACTACAGAGAGGCGTATCTCCCAGATAAGTGTTGATGTTGCAAGCAAGATGCACAATGATTTGAAGAATTCCCTAGCATTTAGCTTAGCTCTTGATGAGTCTACAGACATACAAGACAACCCACAACTGGCGTTATTTGCTCGTTATGTTTCCGCTGATGGAACTGTGAAAGAAGAGATATTAGACTTAAAGGCACCAAAAGAAACAACTCGTGGTGCCGACGTTAAAAATGCGCTTGACAGAGCCTTAACAAATGCTGATGTTCCACTGGATAAACATGTCAGTGTTGCAACAGATGGAGCACCTGCAATGGTGGAGAAATATGCAGGACTAATTGCACTCATGAAAAGTGATCCTAAATTTCCAGAGTTCCTCCTTGTTCACTGCATCATTCATCATGAACACCTAGCAGCTAGATACTTCAGGTACGAAAATTTTATGAAAATTGTCCTAGATATTGTCAATTTCATCCGCTCAAGTGAGAAGACCCACCGACAGTTCAAAAACTTTATTGAAGAACTGGAGCTTGAAGACAAGCCCAACAATGTTTCTTTTTACTGCATTGTGAGGTGGGTGTTAATCAGCAACATCTTGAATAGGTTTGTAGATCTGCTGAACCTTATCACTACTTTTCCTTAAGAAAAGAAATGATCCTATCCTCTGCTGGAAAATGATGAATGGATGCAAGATCTGATGTTCCTTTCTGACATAACAAAACAACTACAAACAATCAACTTGGCGCTCCAGGGGAAGGATAAGATTGTTTCTGATCTTGCTCAAACAATTTTCAGCTTCCAGAATAAAATAAGAGTTTTTCAAAGAGACATACTGTACTGTCAAGAAACTTCAGCCACTTTCCCCATCTCAAAAGGAGAGTAAAAACATTCCCTGATATTCAAATAAAGACCACAAACTGGAAAAATACAAATATAAATTACAAGGACTCCTTGATAATTTCCTAGCCAGATTTGATGACTTACAGAAGCTGAAACCCTACTTCGCCTTTCTTATAAATCCATTCATGGTTGATGTAATCAATGATTGTTGTCCAATTCTCAAACCTCTGGTTACAGAATCATCTGCTGTGGAAATGGAACTAATGGAATTTCAGGAGGACCTGGGTTTAAAGACGATACATAAACCTCAGTCTACAGTCGAGTTCTGGAAGCAAGTTCCAGAAACAAAATATCCTGAACTCAAGAAAACTAGTGTGCGACTCATCTCAATTTTCAGCACAACATACTGCTGCGAATCATTGTACTCCGTAATGAAGTTTGTTAAGTCAAAACATTGTACAATCCTCACAAATCAACAACCTGACGAAGATAATTCAAACAGCCTTGACAACATATCAGCCAAATTTTCAAAGAGACACAGCCAAGTTGGAGACCCACAAGACTTCTACTAGTAGTAAATAGCCAGATTATTGTAGCAATATCTCTTTACGTCATAAATAATGTTATGACAATATTGTAACTTTGTAAGGTGGTATCTGATTAAAATATCTTTAATTTTATTGGTTTACTTGCTTTTCTTTTGCATATTTTCCTCCAAGCTTTGACCAAACATTTTCTAAGACAAATAAATTTAATTAAAAATACTTGACAGTATTTTTTTTTTTACCATTTATTTCAGCACTCTCATATTATGTTACTAAAATGCAGAGTTGCATATTTTTTTCTGAGATGTTCCCGTAGATCATTATGTATTAAACTTACTCAACACCGTTAAAACAAACATCACTCAAGATTTTGATAACATTAGGTATACAGTATACACAGCATATGAGCATTCCAATTATTGAAATTAGTTCAATTTAAGATTTTAAAAATCTACATACATTAGTATATAATACTGCATACATGTATGTCTTAGTACTTGTAATATTTGCATATAAATTTTGTAATAAAATGTGTATGTAACAATAAAAACGTGTATAAAGTTTCTTCATGTCTTGCGGCTCTCGAACGTATGAAGATTATCGTATGCGGCTCTTGGGTTAAGCAAGTCTGGCCACCCCTGGTATTTAACATAATACGTAATAATAATAAAAAAAAATTGTAAAATTGTATTTCCTTCAGATAATGAATTTCTTTTACAGCTGCTTATTTCTTTGGTTATCAAATGTGAAAACAAACAATATTGCACATTAGGGGGCAGGGAAAAACACCTTTATTTGAGTTGCAGGCTGCACTTTTCAGGCATCGTTTGTATGGCTGTAACAAACACCTGTGCAAAATTTCATGCCATTTCATGCATACTTACCCTGCCGCATCGCGAACGACTTTTTGTCAACTTTTAGTGTACAGTATACCAAAAATTAGGTGTCATTTAATGTTTTCCAGGATAATGATAAATTTTACATGGGTGACATCGATCTAATTCACATGTTATTTTACAGGTACACCGTATAGAAAATCATTACAAGTTCATATTGAAATTCTTTTTTGTGCGGAACCTTGACATCATTTTCCTAGACAATAATCTTTGCCTAATATATCCATCTCTCGATTCGTATCCCGTCACTTCAGTGCAAGCTTCAGTCATCACTTTTATGCCTCTCTCGACCGCCTGAGTGCTGTTTGGCCACTTGGGCACCACTAATGGTGTCTCAAGAATGTCATTAACCTGTAGATTTGACAGAGAAGCAATGTAAGGAGGCTCAGTCTTGAGTTCATTCCTCCAGTTAATCATGGAATGATAGTTTTTTGCTTGCCACTTTAGTTTCGGAGTCACCACCTTTCTCATGTTGACTACAGGAGGCACATCCTCATTCCCATCTCCATCTTTACCCTCCTCATCAGTATAGTTTAACAAATTCTCGTCAACAGCAGCATCAGAATCTTCCTCCTCCTCTTCAGATCTGCCAGTGCATTCTTCCTTATGCTGATTCTCCTCTCTAATTTTTCTTATCATTGAGACAGCTTTTTCTCTAACAGTCATGTCCTCATCTGCACACATACCAAGAAGAAGTTGATCTGTGTGGGCGAAGTATGCATTTCTCTGGACAGCCTTCTTCACTATCGTCTCCTCCTCACTATTCAGGTGTTTCATATATAGCAGGGACTGGAATACGTTCCTTGAGCCGTGTGTTACGTAAGGGTGTATCTTGATGTAAAACCACATTGGAGCACTGAACTTTATTATTGTAATGACAATTCTTTTCAACTCATGGCTGGGTCTTGATGTTGCTACATACAGCCTGAGGATTCTAATCCATAAGGTGTTCCACCTTGACACACAGGGAGGACCTGGCTCAATAGCAGCCAAGTCATCTTCAACAACACCTGTGATAACTCCTTTACAAATCCTATACAGGTATTTCTGATCCCAGGACAGATCTTTCTCCACTTCATCATTAAACACAGGGAAATCAGGGAAACTGACTGGCTGGAAGGCGACAACTGGAAGCTCAGACAAAGACTCCTTGATCTGCTTTCCAATGGGACCACGCCAATGCTCAGGACCACTTGGTTTACCATCATAGTGATAAAAAACTGCGCGGAAAGGCAGCTCATTTCCGTGAAGCTGACATATGAAATAATGGAGCGGGTGACCAAGTAACATTTCAAGATGATGAATGACTCCATTTTCTGATCCTACATTTACATTGGTTCCATCACAACCAACACACACAATGGGCTGCTGGGTTAGATTTTTCTCCACCAGAAACTCGTGAATAGTTTTGGCAATCTGCTTTCCGTGTCCAGTCTTGGGAGTCACATGTGTGAGATATTCATTGCCAGGCTCAACCATGATGACATAATGATCTTTCACCATCATCCTCGAACTCCATTTCTCGGTCTTCTCATTCTTTATCATCACACGAGTGGCGGTCTTTTTACCATCAAAATAGAGTGACGTCAAATTATCTAAACTAGCCATCTCAATTTCTTGCCTCTTAAATCGGTATTTTTGTCTCGCATCCCGCAGCTTATGTGGTCCAATAACCTGACTCTTGTCATCCTTTGTGATAATGCCATAGTCAGTTAAGGTGGCAGTAGCAATGGCAGCTCCAGCATAATCACTAATCAAGTATCGGTCACAAGCGGCAACTTACCCAGGTCTCCCCTACATTACAGTACAGTAACACAACATTGAGAAATGAAATGAGAAAAGGCTGATAATCAATATAGACATAGCACCATACTCATCTGCAACAAGACAACTTAAATGAAATAAGAGATATGAAAAAAAAGTTGATAAACACTGAACAGAACATTGCACCGCCACAGCGGCTGTTTGGCTAGTACTGTAGGTAAATTTAAAAATTTCAGTAGAAAATGCGGCAGACTAAACCTCGACATATCGGCTTCAAATTTGGCATGGAGTCTTAGATATGTATAAGGAACAATGCCTGAAGAGTGCAGCTTTGAGCAAAATTTCACTGCCCCCTATTGCACATCCTGCTAAATGTTACGTACATGATGGACATACTACTGTATAAACCATTTAACAAGTATATAAACAAAATTACATTAAGATCCACAATGAAAACGTGGATAAGATAAATCTTGATAAAATCACACGGGAAAAGGGAAACAACGGAGCACCTTAGCTTTCGTCTTTATTCAAGACATCTTCAGAGGCCTCTGAAGATGTCTTGAATAAAGACGAAAGCTAAGGTGCTCCGTTGTTTCCCTTTTCCCGTGTGATTTTATCAAGAAAACAAAATTAGTTTACATAAAAGGTCGGGTAAATAAAATTTATATAATCTGATAGAGAGAGCATCAAGAATTATTTGCACCAATCAATATCAATGGTTAGTCAATATTTCTGGCAGCCAGTACAAAATCTAAATATATTCTACACCTCTTAAAATATAACAATAGAGTAAATACTGTATAATTATTAAACAACAGTGTAACATAAACCTTTTATTAAAAGATCAACTGACCTGCATCTTTAATCTTTGTGCTAAAGATTCTTTTTCTTTCAACATCACCTGCTGGGCAAGAGCACCAGCTGCAAACTGGTGTTCCAGCTTCTCTTTCTCTTGCTGATATCTGAAAAACAGGTCAAATATTTAATTATCTAAACAACTACATTGCCACAGAAGTTCCTCGAGGCTTATGTCCAATCCACAAGTTTTTCCAATAAAGGAAATTTTGAACTCTTTGTTTACCAAAATCAGGTAAGAATCTGTTAAACTAAGACCAAGAGAACAATAAAATATATTAGTCAAGGCTCTGATCAGCTGTCAACTGCCTGCTGCTGAGAACTGTGGCTGTACTTCATACCACACTCATTATATGGCCTGAGAAAAGTTTTCAAACAAACATTCCAGTTACAGATTGTAATTGTTCTTAATCAACCATATACAGTAATTATCTCAGGACAATGTCTATGATCTTCCCCCTTTGCTATGTTGGGTGTAAGTACAAATTTTATGTGATGCCTTAGCCCTTTTTTCTGGCTTATAGAGGAAGCAACAGTCTCACTTTCCCTGAAGCTAGTTGAAGGGAATGAAACAGCCTTAATCATCTTTGCAGCAGAGAGGAAGGCAGCATAAAACATTGTATTTCCTGTAAGTGAAAGGAATGAAATGGAGAGTCTTACTTTTCCAATAGCTAAAGGTAATGAAACAGAATCTTACTTGTCTTTTAGTTGTTCCTGTTGTTTTTGCAGTGAATCACGCAACTGGTTTCTCTCCTGTTCCAATCTGAGTTGAAGGGCATCACTCTCCTTTAACTGTTGCTCTAGTATTGCATGTTCTTGGCTTAGGTTGGTCTGCAAAATACTTCTGCAATACACCAACAACTGGACTAAAACAAATGATTCAAAATATATCAAATATCTTTATAAATAACAATTAAAGCACAGTCTTACTCTTCATAAAATACTGTAATGTCTTTACAATACAGGTACAGTATTCAGATGCACTATAATTAGTTCTTAACAAGCCTCTGTCACTCTTACTGTATACTGTCATGGTTTCAATGAAAATATCTACATCAATCCCTCCTTAAACACCAAAAACCACCAATGAAGTTTATATATATTACAAAAATTAAAAATATTCTGTATTACCTTATACTATTTATACAGTCCATCTGATTCATTCATCCATACTATTATAGCATAACTTTTTCACAAGCATCCCTCCCCATATCCACACTAGCACAACTTTCTCACACATACAGTATATCCTTCACTGTATCCATAGTAACTCAAATTTCTTACACACATCCCTCCCAGTACCTGTATTAGCTCACACATCCCTCCCAGTACCTGTATTAGCTCACACATCCCTCCCAGTACCTGTATTAGCTCACACATCCCTCCCAGTACCTGTATTAGCTCACACATCCCTTCCAGTACCTGTATTAGCTCACACATCCCTCCCAGTACCTGTAATAGCTCACACATCCCTGTACCAGCTCACACATCCCTGTAATAGCTCACACATCCCTCAGTACCTGTATTAGCTCACACATCCCTCCCAGCTCACACATCCCTCCCAGTACCTGTATTAGCTCACACATCCCTCCCAGTACCTGTAATAGCTCACACATCCCTCCCAGTACCTGTATTAGCTCACACATCCCTCCCAGTACCTGTATTAGCTCACACATCCCTCCCAGTACCTGTATTAGCTCACACATCCCTCCCAGTACCTGTATTAGCTCACACATCCCTCCCAGTACCTGTATTAGCTCACACATCCCTCCCAGTACCTGTATTAGCTCACACATCCCTTACTTTGTCCTTCACTTGTGTCATGGGTTGCGTTGGGCCTACCCACCCCACAACCCATCCCAAATAATTGTTTAGGTAGAGATAAGGTACCCGGCCAGCCAATAGGGGGAGGCTAGTGAGACAGTGTTGTACTGATAATCATTTCACCCTCAAAACCACATTTTAGTCAGTGGGCTTTAGACCTTGGGCGAGGGGAGACCTCCTGCTCCGCGGACTTAGAACGGGCCATACAGTCCTACCAGTGCTACGAGTCTGTGTGTGCAAATCCCCGAGTTTGTTGTTAAGTCCCGCGAAAAGTTAACGCATCCTGTAAAGGAAGTGATCACTGGTGAGGGCCTGTTTGCTACAAGAGCACTCCAGGCCGGCCTAATAGATCTAACGATTAATTCCCCAGGTTGACAAACTCTCCCTTATAACTTACGGTACTGTGGCGCGAATGTGAGTGACTGACCTATCCATGCAAATTATAAGTCCAGTGTATGGAATTGTGCCAAATAAACGTAAGTGCAATTATCTGCCCGTATCTGTGACCCCTCTATTATTATTATTATCAAAGGTAATGACTGATTGGTTTTGACTAAGTATAACTAGAAACTTAGATGGATGTTGGAAATTAATGGAATTCATTAAATCATCATTTATCAAGTACACAACGCATTGAATGCCGGAAACACAGTGAAATTCTGCGTAGTGATACACCATAATCTCCTGGGTGAATCAGTGTGAAGGTATCCGAGTTCTACGGTAAGAAAACCACTTTCTTGCATTTAAAACATAACAACTTGAATGTCTCGCATCTCACACCATCACTAATCTATTAGGCTTGCATAGTCATAGTTCCCACAAACTATTCCCTTGTATGCATCATACGGCTTATCCTACCACTGATACTTTTTTCCCCTACCCAGTATTACACACTATTCCTTTCACTAGTACAGCTAGACCCCGACTTACGAATGCTTCGACTTACGACCGTCGGGACTTACGACCGCCGCAGTTGTGACCATTTTTTTTTTCAAATGACACACGCATTTTCTATACCGAAACGTTTCCAGTTAATGTAGTCTCCATGTATAATTAGAAAATCATGGGGGCCCCATGTGCATTCAGCTGACTACATTAAAGTGCTCAGTCACACTGTATCCATTCCTCATTATTTATTACTTTTACTGTACTGTATTTCATTGTAGATTTTTTATTATTTTTTTTATTTTTTTTTATCTATGTCAGACTTACGACCATTCGGACTTACGACCTGGATTTGGGTCCCTAACCCCGTCGTAAGTCGGGGTCTAGCTGTATATCTACAGTACTTCCCTCTTGTCAGGGCCAGATTTACCAATAGGCCAAGTAGGCCATCGGCCTAGGGCCAACCGGTATCTAGGGGCACACTGAAACCAATTTGTCGCGCAGCGTGCCAGCGTATAACCTTGTTTCAAGTGTACACCAAGTATTTCATTATATAATATATTCACAACCATAAGGGCCCCTGTACAATAAGTATAGGCCCGCAGTGGTCTTTAACTGGTGGACCATGGGGTGGTTCTCAGGTGGGCCACGGACTAGGCACTATAGTAAAATGAAGAAAATAAGATAATAAAAAATATATATATGTATATACATTTTTTAAATGTCAGTGTCCCACCATCGATTTATCTATACATACATATATACTACATACATATATACATGAGGGAGGGAGGGAGGGAGGAGGGAGGGAGGGAGGGGGAGGGAGGGAGGGAGGGAGGGAGGGAGGGAGGGAGGGAGGAGGAGGGAGGGGAGGGAGGGAGGGAGGAGAGAGAGAGAGAGAGAGAGAGAGAGAGAGCGAGAGCGAGAGAGAGAGCGAGAGAGCGAGAGAGAGAGAGAGAGAGAGAGAGAGAGAGAGAGAGAGAGAGAGAGAGAGAGAGAGAGAGAGAGAGAGACACTGTAATATTAAACCCCTCCTCTTCAAAATTAAGAATAAAAAAAAAATATAGAAAGTTAGTGTCACACCAACCGGCTGTCCTCAGATTTAAGTCTCTTGTTGTTGGAGCAGGACTGAGAAGTACTGGTACTTCCTTCCCTGGCCATTATCTCCTTCACACCAAAATGATACGTAAATTTTGATGACCCACCAAATATGATTGTGTCACCAATACTCAAATCCTGCTCCTCCTCTGTCTTTACAGGTTTATCATTCACTAATACTCCATTCAGACTCTGTGGAACAAGTAATATTAAACAGTTTAATGCCTTAATATTTGTGGTTTTTCAAGTTATGCTATAATTAAAGTTAACATGGTTTTGCTTCATTAGAATAACAGGATCACCTGCAGATTAAACAACTCAGTTCAATACACTGTATTTAAGATGGACATTAATTCAGTTGTTTGAAGTGACTGACAGGCCAAGTAGTAAGCTTAGCAGAAGTATTGAACACTGATTCTCATAAAATTTTCTATACACTAAGCTAAATTTTTTGTCATCAGTAGAGTCATGTTATATGGAAATTGTATGGACAAACCCAATAAAAAATCAAGGGTCTAAGTAACAATACCAAAACTACTACTGTAGAGTATACATGAATAATTATACTTGTAAAAAACCATACAAAATGTTAAAATATACTAATCAATCATAGCATAGACTGTTTTTACAAAATTCATTAGATACTTACAAGGTTCTTAACAATCCAGTTATCACCTCTGCGTGTGAATAAAGCATGTTTCCTAGATATACCTCTATCAAGAATTAAATTGGTTGCTTCTACTGACCGTCCTAGTATAACCTGAAAGAAAAATAATTAAACTTTTTCATGTCACTCCTCAAATTCCAATGCTGTACATGCCCAAAGCCTGGATAGCTATGTGACGTAAAAAGAGACCCACACAAGTCTACAGGTGACTAAAAATGACCCACACAAGTCTACAGGTGACTTAAAGAGACCCACACAAGACTACAGGTTGATATCCTTGGGTTCCATGGACTCCAACATTATTGACTGGAATTTGAAAATCAGTTTACCTTTCCTTTACAATCCTAGCCCTTATTGTGGTCCAATGGTCAATATGCTAGCCTTGCAAGTGAGTGGACCAGTATTCTATTCTTGGGCAGGGTGAACTATGGGCAAGTTTCTTTACACTCTTTGTTTACCCAGAAAGAATTGTGAACCTGAACGTCAATCAGTTTGGGGATTGTGTTCCGGGTAATGATTAACCAGTAGTTGTCCTAAACTAACCTACGGTAAGTAATGCCTAACCAGTAGTTGTCATACAGGTCGTTAACTTAGGGTGTGGTTGTTGTGCTGGCGACAGAATATTCATATTATCCTTTATTAAACAGGATAAAAAGTTACCATTCAGTTATGGTTAAGAGCCACACAGATTTCAGACAAATGCAATAAAGTATTTTCATTTTATTTATATTTTGGTTAATATTTTGAAGTTGGCATGCATGGAGGTCTATTTTGATTCTTATATATCTCAGGAATTTTGTAAGTGCAATCAGTAATTTTGACAATTCTAAGACACTTTTCTTCAAATGGCATTTCTTGAGCAAATTACATTTAAGCGAGATATTTAGCATTTTATTGCTGTACAATGATCCCTCGTTTAACGAGATTTCGGTTAACGATTTACCTTCCATAAGATTCTTAACTTCGGTTAACGAGCAATCCCTTGATTAACGAGTTTTTTACGAGCCGACCTCAACATGTTTTCGCTTGCATTTGGCAATCCACCAGCTGTAGTATTAGTCCGCCAATACAGTAATCGGTTTTAGGGCTTAAATTCCTTACTATTTTAGTAAATATCAAGAAGTTTATACTATTCAATAATTTCAAAAGTTTAATATTAATTTTGTTAGCCATTTTAACAATTATTGAACATAATTGAAGGGAAGGAAACTAGTTTCATGCACGCCATCCAGCCTGGCAACACATCAAACAGGCGCCAGTCTCTCTGTCTTTTCAGTGGAGGTAACATCTTGCTTGAGACTCTCTTCAACTAAAGGCTTTTTTCCTGTGTTTGCAAGCAAATTATTGGTCATTTTGAAATTTATTTTACATACAGTGGGGTATGCTATAACGAATCTAATTGGTTCTAGAACCTTGTTCGTTATAGCATTCGTTCGTTATAGGATTAATCCGTTCAAGGCCCCCAAATACAACCACTTAACACTGAAAAATATAATGTAAAATTGTAAAAATTGTAAAAAAGTGCATAAATATGCATCTACAGCAAACCCCTGAAATAAAGAATATCATTAATACTTGTAATAAAAAAACAATAAATTAGTTAAAAAAAAAAAATTAAATAATGTTCGTTGTAGGAGTTTCGTTCGTTATAGCATTCTCAATTTTATAGGTAAAACCGTTCGTTATAGGAATATTCGTAGTAGGATCCGTTCGTTATAGCATACCCCACTGTATGTTATAGCTACACGACGATCAACTCGCAGTGAAATAAATGCGAAATGCCGCCAGTCACGGTCAAATATAGTTATCACGTTGTTTGCCGGTAATGGATTATTAGCTATTCAGTGTGCTCTCATGCTAAAATAGCATTAGTAGGAATTTAGCCAGTCTCGGCAAAATATCCACGGCCAAAAAGCTACTAAGCATTTGCACAAGAAATGGTACACTTAAATATCGATTCATAAATAAAAAATAACATCTTTGGGTAGTCATAAACACTAGAAGAGGAATGGTTACATGCCAAATATTAACCCGTGTGCTATTGAAAAGTCCAAAATACTCCAAAAATGAAAATTTGCAACGGAAACCTAATAAATAGATTTTTCTCTCTCTTTCTCCCTATAAAAATAGAAATTTGAAGTTTGGTGTTTGACCTAAAAGAGTTTTAAACTTTTTGATATTTTTTTTTTGCACAATCTGTATACAGTACAGTACATGTAAGATTGAGTGGGCATGTAACATACTGAGTAGTAAAAAGATGTAGAAAATAGCATATTGTACGTCGATCCAGCATTCATAAATTTAGCCTACTGGAGACAGCAGCTGGGGGATTCATTAGCCTATGGGAGACAGCAACTTCACATATAGGATGCAGGCTGATATTTTTAGTAATTTTTCAGACATAAAAGTGCGTCTTATATGCCCAAAAATAAAATAGTTAGTCGACCATTAGGACGTACCATACCTATACTTTAAGTTCTTGATCTATCTTTAACAAGTTCTTGGCCCAACTATATGAAGTACATTACTGCACTTAGTTTAAGTATAAGAGGCTCTTGGTCTAACCATAACAAGTTCTGAGCCTGATAATAACAGTTTCTTGGCTTAAGAGTACAGTGCAGTACAGTACTATACTGTAATAGAATGTCAGCATGACTACACTGTAACAGGAAAGGGTGTGAGGCATGTGTATCATTCATGCAACGACACACAAAGCCCTGTCAAGTCTTCACCATCACCTCCCACCATGTCTAGTGAGTGTCTGGGGCAAAATAGTATAATATAAAGGAACTTTGCTCAAAGCTGGATTTTCACTTATCTGCATTACACTCAGGCAGTAATAGTTTTAGAGAGTTTTTTGTATATTATTAATCAGGGTTAGAGAAAAACATTGTTTAAAAAAGATAAAAAAAAAAACTTTTTTTAATGGTATAATGTTGGTTTTAATGAGTTATAAATATTTGTAGTCCTTTTTATAAACTTTTTATTTGGTAAGAATCATAAGCATTACATTCAGGATGATTTAGCAATCATTTATACTCTTCCATCTCAAAAAATCACTGTGCAAAGGCCAAATTTGAAAAACACAAGCTTTGATCAGTCATCCAAACTCATCCTACATGCTTAAAGGCAAAAACTATGTTTTAGTTCACCTTAATACATGGAAAAAACTATTCTACTTTTATAATTGAAACTTTTAAAAGAAATCATTGAAGTACAGTGGTATCTTGACTCCCTTGGACCCATTTACGTAATACATGATCTGAACAAATTAGAATTAGAGGTTCAGAGCCCAACCATAAACAGAAGCAGTCACCAGTTGTACTGAACAGTGGCAACTTGGCTCCCTTATAATCAGGATTTGAGATGTGTGCAGCCCTGTAAGAAAGCTTATTACCACCACATTCACCAGTGTTTAATAGTTCACATCCATGCCTATATTTAACAACCACAGGGACATAATGCATCCCTGTCTAACACCCACATTTATTTCAAGTGTTTCACTTTCTTCCCCATTTGTTCTTACTGTTGCCTGGCTGTTTTCATGGAATATTTTTACTGGATTTAATAGCCTTCCTCCCACCCCAAACACTTGTAATGCCTCCCACAATGCTTTTCTGTTCACCCTAACATATGCCTTTTTCAAATCTACTATAAATTATTATAACTACCTGTAATTAATGGAAAAAATATATATTTTTTTGTTTGGTGTAAATCATGGTTTAAACCATTAGTTTAAATTGGCCAATCCTGAATTTTATTATGGTACTGTACATATTGCTGTGCAGGGATCACTTAATTACAGTATACTGTACCTTTTAATGAATTTTCCTTTTTCTTTCAGACACAAAATGCTGTTGAGAAGGTCCGAGAGTTACTAGAGAAAAATCCAGAGGCAGTGAGTGTTTTAGCAAACTGTGTATTATATTTTATAAGAGTAATACTGCAGTAATAATCAAACTAATTAGTTCATACATTACTGTAACTTTTCCGTCTTCATAATTGGAAACTCTGGGCAAAATGTTTTGATATTTTCTCCAGTGTATCGTCATATGTTGGTACCTGTATGCCTGCTCCCTAACTCCTGATAGTATTTAAACTTACACAACATTTGTATTTATAAAATATCTGCAGGAATAAAATTTACCATAAATTACTGGTCATTATGATATTCTGACAGTTCTCTACACAAAAATGTTCAGTGATAATTTGATCCACATACTGTAATAGATAATGGTGCACCTGTACGTAAGTTCGTACGTGGCAGTACACACCCAGTAAATTAAACAACAGTGGAGCTCCCCCGGTTAGGTTAGATGCAAAACTGTTTTTCTGATGGCTTTTGATGTTTTAAACACTTTTTAACCTAGATTTTGGTATTATTTTCTTTACACACCGTTCATTCCTACCACTAATCTATTATTATATTCGAATAAGACGTCTATTTATAAGATAATTTTCATCTATTACATTACCGGCAGAAATGTATAATAACGGAGATAGCTTTTCCAAAATATTTTCTATTTTCTTCCATTAACACCCAGCCATTATCGTCTGCCTCTCCTTCAACACTGCGTGTCTCCTGCGTCTCCTTCATAAATCATCCTACGCATGCGTTGCTGTACACGTCACGCGGCCAATCAAAAGCCTTTTTGATTTTGAAACCAATTAAAATGTTTTTGGGTTTAATTCGCGGTATTTTTGGCCCAATCAAATTCGAGTATTCTTTTTGATCTCTCATATTTTGAAATTCAAGTTCAGTTCCGACCATGGAAGTCTGCGATGGGTGTCACTTAAAGTATATGGAGCTGATTGCGAGTTTTTGGGAAAAAAAAACGAAGAAACTATAGCATTTTTTCGATCGCATGGTGTTCTTCCAACCTCAGTAAAGTGTACTAAGAGCAAGACTGAATGTAAATATCGCAAAGACCAACATATGTGGCGTTTTGTAAGAATCCCAGAATGCAACGACGAACAAGAACCAGGCCAATAAGGTAAGAAATAGGTGATTCCATCAGACGCGGGTCCGACTAATTACCCAAATGTAGCCACAATTAAGTCAAATGATGGTCCTACACGACTAAATCGGACTGCCAATCACTTCTCGACTGGTATTTGGCGTCACGAAGTCACAAAAAATTGGTAAACTTAACTTAATCTGAGTTAATAGATCGAGTGCATGTACCTAACCTAACCTCGACTAGTATTTGGTGTCACGAAGTCACAAAAAATTGGTAAACTTAATTTAATCTGAGTGAATAGATCGAGTGCATGTACCTAACCTAACCTAACCTAACACAACTCGGATTAAATTAAGTTTACCAATTTTTTGTGACTTTATGACGCCAAATAATAATCGAGAAGTGATTCACAGCCCGATTTACGCTTGTAGGACCATCATTTGACTTCATTGCAACTACATTTGGGTACATTTGGGTAATTACTCGCTCCCTCGGTACATGCAAGCGATCTATTAACTCAGATTAAAGTAAGTTTTCCAATTTTTTTTTACTGTGACACCAAATACTAGTCGAGAAGTGATTGGCAGTCCGATTTATTCATGTAGAACCATTATTTGACTTAATTGTGGCAACATTTGGGTAATTAGTCAGACCGATCATAAGGTGAGAGTCAGTTAAGTTAGGCTAGGATAGGTTAGGTTTGGGTATTGTTTTTCTAATGTTTTTTGTGTATTTTTTAGTCGCTTAGCCACTTTTTTTTCTCGGAAAAGGTCAAACGAAAAAAAATCTTAAAAAAAAAACGGCTAACTTCCGCCAAAAAGGAAGGTCATATTCGGTCTCAACACACACAAATACACTAGAAAAATTTATTTTTAACTTGCTAAAAGTGAACGGTGTGACATAGATTATTGTTGCAAATATCTAAATTCTGAGATGGGAAGGGGTGGGGGACTTATCTCTGAAATTATTGACTTGCTCCAGAAATTAAGGTAAAATTTGTTCATAACATCAAAAACCATCGGAAAAACATAGTGGCAACAAGTGAAAATTACCCAGCTGCCGTACCTACAACCTATGCCTATTAAGTACTACTGAAAACATGTAATGGCATGAAAATTCTGATATTCATAACCCCATTTCCCTCCTAAGAAGCACACAGTCTCTATATGCTGAACCTCCACCATATATCATCCAAGCTACTAAACAATATAACATTCTGTGCCTTAAGCTCAATCCTTATTTTAGAGACCAGTGAAGGACAACCAACACTAGACAAGAGAACAGTGACATCTTCAACCTCACACTCTCTCTCCCTCACCTCGTCTGTCTTGAACGGGATGATGGAGTACTGACCGTCATGAGGAGGATTACGCTTTAAATAATAACATCTTCTCTCCGCCATGTTCTGCCGTTGGGTTTGACGAACGAGATTACTGGTTTAAACTATAGGTTAACGATAACCTTCACTTAACAACCGCGTGTCTGTTGTTGTCTAACGAACGCAACAGGACTACTCCTTGTCGATGATCAGTGTTGCCATCTACAAATTTACATTCCCGCTATATGAGACTCCAAAACACGCTAGATTTGATCCCTAATCCGCTAGATTGTGACTGTAGAGATAATAGCATGTGTTATATATACAGTATACAGTATAGATATATAGACAACTGAACTGATTAATATACACAAATAGATAGAATGATAAATATAAAAAGTATGGTACACAGAAGTATAGCTAATTAACACATCGGTGGGCATAATGTCACATAAGTAGCCTAATATGAATGTATAATCAACATCAAAGGATATGCATGGCTTGCTTTTAAAACAGGAAGAGAGAGGAATCATCGAATTCCTCTACCTCTGTTTCCTCTCGAGATGCGCTTGCTCTTGGTGTTGATATCAGGATTGGTTCACTGACGTATGCATTGCTAGTTCCAATCAATTTCAAGATATTGTAGCGTAGTGTATGTGGCCAGTTGTCAAATTTCTCTTGCTTAGGCTCACATACATACGTACACGTAGGAGATCTCGCACCAAGGATGGAGGTAAGAAAGCAAACTCACAATGGCATTTTCTATATATATATATATATATATATATATATATATATATATATATATATATATATATATATATATATATATATATATATATATATATATATATATATATATATATATATATATATATATATATATATATATATATATATATATATATATATATATATATATATATATATATATAGTAGTGATCTCTCCCTACAACTGCGCATCCGCATTCCAATGCGACAGTATCCTAGCAACCAAGAGAGCTGTTCAGGATGGGGGGGTCACCAGCTGCTACAGTATCCTAGCAACACGGGGGGTCCCCACACAGTGGCCAACTTAGCGACTTTGTAGCTGGATCTAGAGCTTTTTGTTTTTTTCTAGCGACATTTTAGAGCGATTTGCGACTTGTCGCAAATCTAGAGATATCCACAGAAATCTAGCGACTTTCTGGATACTTTTGGACTGTCCATGAAAACTCAGTTTTCCTAATTTCGAGCCATAATATATAGCAAAGGGGGTTACAGGGACAATAAATAATAAGAAAAGTTTAATACATTTGAACGGGTCGTGGTACAGAAGGAGGGACTCGTCTATTTCCTGATCACTTGATGTCAGCCCGTCCATGGCTAATGTTGCCGTGTCGTCATTTATTTGTCTGTTACCTTCGCCTTTGTAGCACCTGGGTAACTTACCTCTTTGTCAGATATGCAATATGAATTTCATTAATACGCTAAATTTTAAAGAATATTAGCAAAACATCTTATAGAATTAATTCTATCAAGCCTGCGTGGTTCCAAACTTCTCATACCCATCCACCATGGGTGGCCCATAGACTCCATACAGTTGCCCCGACACTGTTTACCCGCTTTGCCAAAAACCATCAAGGAAAGTTTCCGCTTGTTTGCATGCTGTTTATTAATTTGAACCCTTCATAGTCCCAATTGAAAATGGGTAAGCCACAGTATTCGCAGCGATTTAGGAAGGAATGGCTCAGAGATGACAGATACAAAAATTGGCTTCTGGAGGTGCCAGGAGATAATAAAAAAGGATTTTGTAAATTTTGCAAGTGTACTTTGTCTGCTAAGTTGTGCGACATTGAAAAACATAAAAACACTAAAAAACACAAGAAAGCAGAAGAGCCGTTTAGTGCAGAAAGACAGACAATTTTACCATTCAAGAAACTTGGTGAAGCAAAAAAAGTGGAGGGAACTCTGGCCATGTTTGTAGCTGAACATTGTTCTATTCGTGTGGTAGAACACTTAAGTGAAGTGTGTAAAGTATGTTTTAGTGACAGCAAGGCAGGCAGTGAACTCAAGTTAAAAACATCAAAGTGTTCTGGGATAATATGCAATATTCTTGCGCCACATTTCACAGAAAATCTGAAAAATGATATTTTTACATAATGCATTTTATTTATACTCCGTCCATTATAGTCGGCATTATGAAAATATTATTTGCATCAAATTACTGAAGGGGGGGAATAATAGCTAGCGACTTTCCATGGAAGATTTAGCGACATTTAGCTACTTTTAGGTACCAGCCTAGCGACATTTGAAAATCCGAGTTGGCAACCCTGGTCCACACCTGCTATGTCTTCCCTAGCAACGGAATCAAGAAACCGGCGAGTTCCCACTGGTTTACTTCCGGCTGCCGTGTATATAAGCTCTGTCTCTCCATTAAGAAGGGTGGACCAGCATTTTAGCTTAAGGTCCGCGTAGGTAATATTCCTACAAATCTATAAAAAAAATCCACTGAGATTCATTCTACCCTCCGTTCCTGAACACCAATTGTGGCGTACTGTAATGTGGCCAGTAGTCAATTCTCTTTAGATGTCTATTTTCTCTTTGTATGGCCACACAAACGTACGTACATGTAGATATCTACATCCTTGACCACGGAAGGGTCAAGACGTACCTGGCGCTCCTCTCCGAACAGCCAGGTCAACTGTTAAGTTGGCCCATACCAACCCTCTCCCCTGAACCCACCTCCCCACCGGAATATCAACAAGTTCTCGCCAGAAGTTACAATTTCATTTAGGAAAGGAACGGAACCAGTGTTAAACAGAGGTGAACAGTGGTGAACAGTGCTTAAGTCAGTGAAAACAACTCAACAGTAACAGTCGTACCCAAGTTAACCTTCACACAGTGAGGTCCCAGGTACCCAGTGATAACGGCCCGTGAGACCCAACAACAACCAGCTATGTGTTAATCCGGCTACGATAGGAAGGCCTAAGACCAAACCTCACTCATATAACACCATCTGTGAGGGAATTACTACACCACGTGATGCCCCTCATAACACCATCTGTGAGGGAGTTACTACACCACGTGAGGCCCCTCATAACACCATCTGTGAGGTAATTACTACACCACGTGAGGTCCCTCATAGCACCATCTGTGAGGTAATTACTACACCACGTGAGGTCCCTCATAACACCATCTGTGAGGGAATTACTACACCACGTGAGGCCCCTCATAACACCATCTGCGAGGGAATTACTACACCACGCCAGGTCCCTCATAACACCATCTGAGGGAACTACTACACCACGTGAGGTCCCTCCTAACACAATCTGGGAGGGAGTTACTACACTACGAGTTTGCTGTTCAACACCTACATTAATCTGTATGTTCACTGTATGTTCCTTTACCTTTCTCTAATGAAGGCTTTTGTTAAACCACCAATGTATGTAATAAGTCATTTATGTCCAATGTATATTTTCAGCCTTCGGGCTGCAGAACTTTTTCAATAAACCGTTAATTATTATTATTATTATTATTTATATCTCACACTCAGGAATGAGGTAGAATAGAAACTCACTGCGTTTTCTGTATACATATATTGTTGTACAGAGCAGTGCTAAGGAGTTACTAGGTGAGGAGTAGCTTGCTCAGAGGTCCTGTAGGGCGAGGAGCTCTCTGAGGGAGCTGGGTGGTGAGGTGCTGGAGAGATCTTGCTAAAAAAAATATCTATTGTCTCAGTATTAATATTTCTTGTAACACTTACTAAATTTACAGTACCTGCTTTTATTGTACCACCAAATCCGTTTTATCGGAAATTATCATGTAAATAAATAAGTAATTACCATTGCAATACACATAATTGCCAACTAGACATAATCCTGAAAACTCTGTCCTCTTGTTCAACCTTATTACTGCACAATCCAGGATGTACTGCTCCCCCATTATACGTATGTTTTTAAATTTCACTCTAATTTATGTGTATGTATGTATGTGTATATATTATATATATATATATATATATATATATATATATATATATATATATATATATATATATATATATATATATATATATATATGTATGTATGTGTATATGTTTGTATAAGTAAATACAAATAAATAAATAAATAAAAATAAAAATAATAAATAATAAAATAAATAAATATTGAAGTGATAACCGTGGTAACATTATGAGATGTTCTCATTACCACCATGCTATTGTACTATTCCAGATGATACTAAATGTTACATAATACTTCCTTGAGATAAATGTATAGTATATATCAGGTGCCTCAAAGAGAGCTCAGGTTCTCAACTGGCTCAGCCATGTTAATATTGTTATTATAATCCACTCTGTATCTGTATTTTTCTGGCTAAATAAACTGTTACAATTCAATTCAATTCAATTCTGTTTCAATTCAATCTCTTCTAACGAAGCTCCTGCACAGATACCTCCTCAAGCACGCTACTCACTGAACGTGTCCTCCGAGCAAGCTCCTCACCACACGGCATCTCCAGCACCAGATTGTCTTTCATATAATATATTTTATATAAGAAAACCACCACCTTAGAGTTCCATCAACCCCATCCTGAGTGCTAGACAACATAATATCAAGTAACCCTACAATATATATATATATATATATATATATATATATATATATATATATATATATATATATATATATATATATATAACTAAAACCGCTAGAAATTCGCCAGACATCAGTTAAATCCGAAAAAAACGCTAGCAGCTAAACAGCAAATTTACCAGCTAGAATGAAGGGTCAAAAACATCTAGATTTGGAGGAAAAACCGCTAGCATGGCAACAATGTCGATGACTCGATGAACTACGAGCCTATTAATATATTTATATACACCGATGTCAATAATAACTTTTTTTTATTAAATGTAAATCTACTATAACATTTCCATTAGCTATAAGCTGTTCTTTGTTACTAGCTTTCATTGTCCAGTGTTAGTACAGGATGAAACCACAGAATACTTATGATTAGTTTCAAATTCAATGGCTGATTTTTATTTATACAGTACGTTATACACAATTGAGAATTCATGATGACTAGAAAGTAAAAGTATTAATATATAGCCCATGGTAAAAGAACGCGAAAATAATTGCTTGTAGACGCGTAAGCAAAAAAAAAGTACCATCGTAATTAGTCAAGACAATTTTGTACGTTGGTCAATGTATGTAAGTACCACGAACACAATCATTAATCGTTTTTTTAAAGCAACTTGAATATTTTAAACTTAATTTCACGTATTTATCTTATGTTATTTGTTCTGAAGTTAAATTTAGTTTGATTTCATTTCAATTTTCGATTCATACGACAAGACTAATAAATGGGTATTTAGTGATGTTCGTGGTATGCTTGTAGCATTACGTAGATCGTAGATTAATAGTGAGTTTGGTCAACTTTGTGATCGAAGCGGCAGAGCCAGTCCCGTGACATGCAGGCGCCATACTGATAATGATACGAGGACCCTCTCATTAATTAAGGTTTCTCCATATAATGTGAATAACAGCATGGCCCTTGATTGGCCAAACTCACTTTCTACGATTGAACCGTCACGTGCTGGCATCTGGTGGATTTCTTTTACAACTACAACCTTTTTATTCCTAAACGGTTGTGGTAAATTTCAAGTTTTGTGTAAATTTGTGATCCATTTTTCTTTTCTTTTTACTATTTATATAAATAAACAATTTGATATAAATTAAAGTATAATTGACGACACTAGATGAGTAAATATTATTTTCTCTGAACCACACAAATAACAAAAATTTGTTCTGTCAAACCAGACTTATCTATAAGAAAAGATCCTAGTTCTCCAAGATGAGGGTTTTCTAAGCTTCCAAATGCTGGCAAAAGAAAGATGATATTTTTTTAACCCTTGTAATTCCTACGTATGAGTGTTAATTTTGTTTACTTTGTCGTGCATTCCTCCCCTACAAACGCTTTTGTCGCTGAGTAGCCGACCCCGCGAATTCCCCAGTGTATGACTTTTGGTCTAGGTCAACCAGCGCCGCCTTACATGACGGAGGTCAACTATTAAGCCACGCCTACCTCCGCTATATAAGATCTCACCTCGTGGTGACCTACCTCTTTCTACCTACAGCCAGTCTTCAAGCAACAGCTCCTCCTCCACTCCTGCCTGGCGGCCCTCGCTCCAGCCGGCGACCATGGCGACCCACACCTCGTGGTGACCACTCTTACTACCCACAGCCACCAGCAAGCAACACCACCTCCTCCTCCTCCGCCGCTCCCGCCGGCGACCATGGCGACCCACAAGCTGGTCCTCCTCTGAGCACCCTCACCAACCAGCTCTCTCTACATCACGCTTGTAACCACGCTGCCACTTCCCAGCACCAAGCGTCACTGTACATCCAAAACAATATGTATACAGAGAGCACATTGTGAGTTTCCTTTCTCCATCCCATCCTGAGTGTGAACCAAATATCACGTATCCCACAACTTTTCCCAAAGTTGATGCTTGATAAGGCCATCCCTGATTCCTGGAAAGCTTGGTCACTGTAACACCACAATACCAACCCCTGACGGAGATAGTTGTATTAATCAATATGTAAAACCTGATTATGGTTACTATAAAGTATATTTATTAATTTTAACGCCCTCTTCGTTTTTTTTTACAGGGAAATACGTTTTTCTGGTGTATTTTGCTGTGCTTTGTTTAAGTCTGACTGATTTTCTTTGGAAAATCTCCATTTATGAGAAAATGTCAGACATTTTATAAAGACATGGAGAATTTACAAAGAAAATGATAGTCAGATTTAAACAAAACACACCAAAATACACCAGAAAATATATTTTCCTGACTGCAAACTAACCTAAACTAATCCAGGAGCAGGAGTAGAGCGCCATTGGTCATATTGAGGGTGGGGAGGTGGTAGATACGGAGGTGATGTCGAGACGCTCGTGATACAATTTTTTTCATCGAATTTAACTTTCGACATTACCTCCAAGAATGTTGAAAGGTAACCTAAACTACATCTGAAGCCCAAATAACTAAACATTAACTCTTTATACAGAAACTGGCGGGGACGTTAAAACGAATCTTAACCAACAATTGGCGCCATATAATGGTCATTAATTACTCCATAGCCACATATTTGCCAAGTCCAGCTGAATTATTGTACACTTTCATGCATGTGGATAAATATACTAATTTAATATAATTATAATTTAATATCAATGTAATTATCTATATTTCTATATATCTACTCACCCACCTATCCGACTATCTATCTCTCTATGATGATTTACTGAACTAATATCTATCCATCGATTCGAAGCAGGTCGTTTTCGGATCAAGGAGTCGAAATTAGTGGAGGAGTCAGTAGTGAGCTTGAACCAGTAGTGTGTAGAAGTGCTGACGGGGGGAATTGACAATCACAGAAAGAACTCAGTGTTACGTAAAGGTGACAAGTGAAGGTGACAGGAGAAAATGACAGCTCACTTCGAGGTTAATATGTGGTAGTTGCCAACACCTACCTATACATGGAGTCTTATATAAGGAAATAGAACAAAAAATAAATAATAAATACCTAAACAAAAATACTTTATTATATTACGCGTCCATCGCAAATTTGTTTCTTGTATTTTCACCCAAAATACTGGTTGTTCAAAGTGGGCAGGGCTTTGAAGTTGACGGAAATGTGGGGTAAAATACTGAAAACAATCCTTTGAAAACCTTACCCAACCTTTTCTAATTTGTAAATAGGTTAAGAATCGCTTTAGAGTTTATGGGCGCTTCATCTGAACACCGAAAAAATTTCCATCACATAACTGAACACTGAAAGCACGAATAAGATAAGCTTTTTATAGGTTAAGAGAATATTGAAAAATTATAAGTTCCATTATTTTTTAATTTAAAGTTGGAAAATATTTTTTAGAATATTTTTGTATTTAAAGTTTTTTAATTCAGATATTTCTAAATGTATTTAATTAAAATATCTTAATTAGAAAAAAAATAAATAAAAAAAAAATAAAAATTATTCGGCACCCTTACGGCGTGATACAATATAACACGTGTGCCGAATATTTTTTTTTTTTTGGTGTACGACCATTACGAACGATCAGTAAAGAGATTCTTGTCTCCTAACAAAACAGTGACACAGGAGCCAGACTGACAGAGACTGATTTTTCACATTGGTAAGGACTATAAATGCCCATAGTGGTAGAAGACACATTACTGTACCTGAGAGTTGCGGTGCAGTGTTGTGTGGTAGGCAGGCCACGGTGTTGCTAGTATTGGTGCCGGTGAGAGACTGAGGCCAGGTCAAGGAAACCTATATACTTTCCTTGGGCCAGGGTGTGCTCGTATCATTGTGTGATCGAGGTTTAAGATCACTTCACCTGCCGATCCTCCTCGCTCCCACACACTAAAACACTCCTATTTGAAGCCCAGCCCGACCCTCCTCCATCCTCATACTGAGTCACTCCTGTCCCGAACCCTACTTGACTAAACAGTGAAGCAAATTGTTTTAAATACAATCGCCTTTATAATTATGTTGTTGGCAACAACAAAAAGTTTCACCTAAATAAAAATGTTATACAATGTAATATTTAAGACATTTTCTCTTTAAATTAAGAAAAATAAAATGTGTACAAAATTGCCCGGCCTGTAGCCTGATTATAGATGGATTGATGTAAAACTGTTCAATTTTGCACCGTACACATTTCATAAAGTATATACGGTCCCAGATGTTACTGTTGAGGTACTGTACATTTTGCAATAATTTATACAGGTTTCTATAACTTTAATTATCGTATCATATTCACTGCTACATAATTCAGATATTGAAAACAGTTGAACATACGATAATACATAATGTTAACTCTACATAAATTGCCTGTCAATGCAATAACTTCAACTGATTAATACAACAATATACAGGTCTACATTTAACTGCATTTCTATTACAATCCAACACTGGTGAACAAAGCTCAGGATAATGACAGTAATACAGATTGGTAATTTTTTATTCTACACAAGAAATAAAATCTTGTGTCAGTAAATAAATTATAAAATATCTCATAAAAAAACTTACATAAAGGGATAATAACAATATACAAATTCAATACATTATGATTGTATATAAAACGAATAGGCACACATTATGGCAATAGTGTCAATGACCAAACTCACGATTGTTACTGAAAACGAGATTAAGGAAGTGATTAAAAGCTATTAATTTATCTAATTTATACATTCCACTCAGTTAACGAGTATCCTACAGTAATACAGAGTTCTTTATCATTACACTATTTTACTTCAGAAGTTAGAGAAGTAAACACGTATAAAGTGAGATGATAAATTTTCTGAACAGCCGTGAGTTTGGGGGCAGCGAGTCGGAAGTGGCATTTTGGTTTATGGTGACAAAATAGGAAGAAGAATATCACTGGAAAATTGTCAGCACCCAACACAGTCGAGAGAGCTTTACCCCCTCCAGACCTGTAAGGAAATTGATCACACAGTGTCTTTCTCTTCTTCTTTTGATCTGTCACTGTCATTCACCTGTTTTTTTTTCTGTTTTCAAGCGCATGGGATACTTTTCACGTCCCACTGGTAGCAGCATCAACATATCACTGGGCACAAGGCATATCATTTACTATAGTGACCAACACAAACCTACATCAAACAAAACTCTTCCAGACACTGACTAAGTTAAGACTGGGCAATACCATGACTGATTGGCTATACTTTTCCATTATTTTCTTTGTTCTATAGACCCAAAACATTAAGTAACTCGCCGTCTTCTCTGTTCTTCAAACCTAACCAACCATAAATTCTCCATCCCTCTTAAGTCTTGAAAATCAATCTCATCACATTCTAATACAAGGGAAGAATACAGGATTGCCGAGTTATATTTCCTGGGTTAAAAATAACAAACTCCAATAAAAAAAAAATTGGTAGACGTAACCTGAATTGACACTGTAGGGTTCAGTAGTTTTGTGTGAAATAAATTAGCAATAACTCACTATTACAGTATATCGTGGTTTGGATTATATAAAAATACATTATGATTAAATTTTCTGGTCTAAAGACAATTTATTTTGAAATCTACCTCATTGATTTTTTATAGAATGGACAGGAAATGGTCACTAACAATTTGACCATATCAATACCCTACAATTTGTAATTCTTTAAACAAAATAATATCACAAGTCTTTAAATAATCAGTTTGTTTACTATATTTGTGAAGACTGTAGAGAAAGTACTGTCATCTTGCCACACCTTGACTCGCTACAATAAAGTATAAAAAAGATCACAGATTCTAGATGCCTGTCCCACCAAGTGCTCCTGTAATCACGCTAGTTTCCCGCCCTCTTCACCATCCGACAGGTAAACAGTGTAGGTGTAAACAAAGGCCATGACCTGATGTTATAAATTCTTACAGACAAAGGTGTAAATATAGAGGCTGACCTGTTTGTGTGAGGAGAATGGAACCTTCAACATTATTATTCTTTTTAATTTGTGCAGAGTTTAAGATTAATTAATGGCCGTAAAGGGTGTGAAAGAGAAGCCTCATGTTCTTCAAGCTTGATAAATACTGTTTCACTACCAAATAGATTTGTATCGCTACTTCACTTTATTCAAATGTTTAGGGCTGAGGAAACTTTCAAAATTACGGATCTGTTAAGAGTGGCTCATGAGGAAGCTGTTGCTGTAGATTGTAAGAGACTGCATATATATCATTGCCTGTAACCATTTCTGTACATGTAAAGTGTAATATTCAGTGAGAAGATGATATGGCTGGTCAAAGTTTCTCAGAAAGACATTCGAGAAGTTTAACAGTACTATATTTACGAACCATGCATAAGTAATCTGAGGGACAGGCATCCTTGGTACCAGACCTTCACGAAAGGCTTGGTGTGTGGTATAGAGTCATGCATCTGCTGGAAGAGACTTGATGGAACTATGGTCTGGCTAACTGTGTCTCCTACTGTACCCACACGTGCCACATACTAAGGCCAACACCTGTCAGATGCTAGGACCAATGACTGTCAGCTGCTAGGAACAATAACTACCAGATGCTAGGACCGATGACTCAGATGCTAGGACCAATGACTGTCAGATGCTAAGAATAATGACTGCCAATTGCTACGACCAATGACTGTCAGATGTTAGGACCAACATCTAGTAGATCTTAAGGGCCCAGAAGAATCTACACTTGGTAACTGGTCATCAAGAAAACAGGTGTAACCAATGAGAGCAACGGTAAACATAGGGGGGCAGGTATGGTGGTAGACAGCCATGATGGTAGTGTGTTGTGGTAGATGGTTAAATGTTCATGGGCCCCTTTATGAGAGGACAATGGTAACAACAATGGTCGTCGTTTGGGAGGATAATAAGGAAAAATATTCTGGTAGTCATCAGATGAATGGTAGTAGTGGTTGCAGGAGCATGGTTGCCAGACATGGTAGTTGATGCCAGTCAGGAACAAGTCATGGGTCAGGAATGGTAGGACATTTGATATTATGGTGAAGGTCAACCACAGTGGTGACCCTGACCCTCAGCGGTGGTTCTTAGAGACCAGGTGGTGGAGTATATATGGTAGCCAATGATGGTAGTAGCTGTCAGGAGAATGGTAGCAAGGTTGTGGTAACAGTTGTTAGGAACACCGGATTACAGCAACAGTCAAGCATGGCAGAGAGGACAATCAATAGTAGGTTCAATTGTAATGTGTGGGGGTGGGGTGGGGGGAGTAGGCTATCGCAAACACGTTGGTGAGTGTCATGATCATTAACAGAATGGTATAGTAGTCACTGGTAACATTGTAGCAAAGTGTGTGTGTGTTGTGTTGTGTTGTGTTGTGTTGTGTTGTGTGTGTGTGTGTGTGTGTGTGTGTGTGTGTGTGTGTTGTGTTGTGTTGTGTGTGCTCTTAGGAACATGGTGGCTATAGTCTAGGAGAGGGAAAGTATGATGCATTTGGGAGTTGAGGTGTGATAGTGTGGTAGTCCTGGTAATGATGGTGTCTTACATAGTATACTGGTAGTCCTGGTAATGATGGTGTCTTACATAGTATACTGGTAGTCCTGGTAATGATGGTGTCCTACATAGTATACTGGTAGTCCTGGTAATGATGGTGTCCTACATAGTATACTGGTAGTCCTGGTAATGATGGTACTGTTCAAAAGGTGCAGTTGAGAACACTTTCAAATTTATCTGGCAATTAGAAACAAAAAGGCACATATTGTATGCAAGTATAACAAACATTCTTTACGATTTTTGAGGCACTGTTGCAATTTTATATCACTTAACTCTGGGAGCTTAGAAGTAAATTTGGGATATATAAAAATTTCAAACAATTATATGATAGGGATAAATGATTTTCCATAAAAAAATAATGACCACATGTACATACTGTATATATATATAAAATGAAACTCTGATTGCCATTTTGTAAAGGCACAATTGTCATATACTGGACAATATATTACAAACCACATTTTTTAACTTCTCTTACGAAACTAAAATTTGTTGACATTGCCAATCGCAAGTAAACTCTGTTGGCTGCCTAAATATTCATGTGAGTGTGTATATGTCATTCTCAGTTTATTTTGAAGATTCTTGGAGCAAAAAATACCAGGATTGATCACTCAAATATTTACCCTGAATTTGAGCATGATAAGGCACCCCTAGAAATAGTTTTTAAAGCATGTTTTGTCTATCATGCAGCAAATGTAGAAGGTTAGTGTACAGTATACAGGACCCCGTTTATGTACAGGGATACAGCATAAGAAAAGGATGAATCCACATTACTGGCATACAATGTTACACTGCCTGGCATACTTAGTGGCATTATACATCCTGTCTACATAGTTACTGAAAATGTGGCTTTTGATGCCAGGATCCAACTATTGCCCAAACAATATTGTTTATCTCCTGGAAATACACTTGTAGGCTGTTGGTTCTCTTTGCAGACTCACAGGTACAGAACAACAACTGTTGCATCACAGATTTCATGAAGCAAATATTTCCTCATTTTATCACTGGTGAACTTTAAACATTGGAACTTTTTTCAATGCCAAAGTTATTCCTAAATATCACTTTGTATATGTTGTTGCATAATGTTTCTCTATAATCGGTAGTGAACAGATAAGGTCCAGACAGACGATGCTATTTGCTGTAACAAGGACTGGCACTACGGAAAAGGAAAATGATGTGATGAAATTACATATGGTGAGGGTGTACACTATACAGGTGCACAACATGAGAAGTTGCTACTGAAAGTGTACACAATAAGTGAACATCAATGGTACTTAATGATGATGAACGCGACAAAGATGCAAGTTATGGGGATGCACATGACAAAGGTACACACAGCAAATATGCTCATCGTGAAGGTGCATGTGGTGAAAGCGTGTACTACACAGGTACACACTACACTGGTGCACGGAGATGAGTGTGCACACACTGCAGATGCATTACAACTGTGCATGCTACAAAGCAGCATCTGGCACTGTATGCAGGGCGACGGTAGCATTACTTTGGTAAACGGAGGAGTAAGTTATTTGATGCATGCTGCACATGGGAATCAGCTCACCGTTTTGGCACTGCAAACTTGGCACAGGTGAGTAGGCACACGTCTTGCCTAGGGCTGCATTAGAATTGGCACTGGGCTGTTCACAGCAGCACCCGGGTCTTGTCCCTGGTGGCACCAAAATTACAGGGGCTCACATTATTTGGCACTGGTACAATTTTTTGCTATAGTCACTGGCACAACACTGGGCGAGGCGCAGACACATTTTAGCTTCACTAAAAGAAACCCGGGTTAGTGTGCTCTATGATACAGCGCCGGCAGTACTTTTTAACTGTCCTATAACCCTCAATGGTCACTTGGCAGTCCTGGATATTGAGCTGCTGAAGGCCACGGCAGTAGTACGCAATGTACTGAACACCACGGTCAGTGATCATGTCACAAGACTTCACCGATAGCTTCTTCAAGTTTGGGCAGTGCTCTGAAATGAGTTTCATGCCATTATCAGTGACGTCACATTTGCCGATATCAAGAGCACGTAGTCTCGGGCATGACCGAGCCACCATCTCCATGGAATCGTCGCTGACCGCTTCACAGCCTCGCACATTAAGGTAGCGAAGCTTGTAGCAATGGCGAGCTATCTGCTTGATGCCAGCATCACTGATCTGGTCACACTTGGCCACACTCAGGTAGCGGAGGTTGGGCCCTAACTTGGCTAGTTCGTACATGCCGAAGTCGGTGATCTGGACACAGTCAGACACGCTCACTTCCCGCAGCATGAGGCAGTAGCTGGCCATGTGCTTCACTCCCGTATCTGCAACAATTACACATTATATTAATATTTGGCAGTATACACGAAAGGTATGCAGGTAACAAAGTAGCTTAAACCTAAAGTTAAGTGAAACACACAGGAACCCTAGACGTACAATTACTGACTTAAAAAACAAAATCCAATAAAACCAGGAAACCAGTATAGTACTGTATGTTGAAATCAGTTGTCGATAAACAAATAAAAGACACAACAATGGCCCAAAAGTTGATTAAGTCCTCTCACTTCACACCCTAACATCACTTGGGACTTGGGGAACACCTTTCATACAAATACTACATCACTTGGGGCTGGGGACTAATCTTTAATATTAATACATCTCCTGTAGCTGGGGGCTGACCTATATTAATACATTTCCTGTAGCTGGGGGCTGACCTATATTTACATCTCCTCTAGCTGGGGGCTGATCTATAATATTAATACATCTGTAGCTGGGGGCTGATCTATAATATTAATACATCTGTAGCTGGGGGCTGACCTATATTAATACATCTCCTGTAGCTGGGGGCTGATCTATAATATTAATACATCTGTAGCTGGGGGCTGACCTATATTAATACATCTCCTGTAGCTGGGGGCTGATCTATAATATTAATACATCTCCTGTAGCTGGGGCTGATCTATAATATTAATACATCTCCTGTAGCTGGGGGCTGATCTATAATATTAATACATCTCCTGTAGCTGGGGCTGATCTATAATATAATGCATCTCCTGTAGCTGGGGCTGACCTATAATATTAATGCATCTCCTGTAGCTGGGGGCTGATCTGTAATAATGCATCTCCTGTAGCTGACTGTATTAATACATCTCCTGTAGCTGCTGATCTATAATATTAATACATCTCCTGTAGCTGAGGGCTAACTATAATAAATTCCTTGTAGCTGGGGCTGATCTATAATATTAATGCCATCTCCTGTGGGGGGCTGATCTATAATATTAATCATCTCCTGTAGCTGAGGGGCTGACCTATAATATTAATACATCTCCTGTAGCCAGGGGCTGACCTATAATATTAATACATCTCCTGTGGCTGAGGCTGACCTATAATATTAACATCTCCTGTAGCATAATATTAATACATCTCCTGTAGCTGGGGGGCTGACCTATAATATTAATACATCTCCTGTAGCTGGGGGCTGACCTATAAATACATCTCCTGTAGCTGGGGGCTGACCTATAATATTAATACATCTCCTGTGGGGCTGGGCTATATAATATTAATACATCTCCTGTAGCTGGGGGCTGATCTATACATCTCCTGTAGCTGAGGCTGACCAATAATAGTAATACTCTTTCAGTAGCTGAGGCTGATCTATAATATTAATACATCTCCTGTGTTGGGGCTGATCTATATTAATACATCTCCTGTAGCTGGGGCTGACCTAATAGTAATACTCCTTCAGTAGCTGGGGCTGATCTATAATAGCCATCTCCTGTAGCTGGGGGCTGACCTATAATATTAATCTCCTGTAGCTGGGGGCACCTATAATATTAATACATCTCCTGTAGTTGGGGCTGAGCATCTCCTGTAGCTGGGGCTGACCTGTAATCTCCTGTAGCTGATGACCTCCTCTCCTGTAGCTGGGGGCTGACCTAATATAATACATCTCCTGTAGCTGGGGGCTAACTATAATAGTAATACTCTTTCAGGTAGCTGGGGGCTGATCTATAATATTAATGCATCTCCTGTAGCTGGGGGCTGACCTATAATATTAATACATCTCCTGTAGCTGGGGGCTGACCTATAATATTAATACATCTCCTGTAGCTGGGGGCTGACCTATAATATTAATACATCTCCTGTAGCTGGGGGCTAACTATAATAGTAATACTCTTTCAGTAGCTGGGGGCTGATCTATAATATTAATACATCTCCTGTAGTTGGGGGCTGACCTATAATAGTAATACTCCTTCAGTAGCTGGGGGCTGATCTATAATATTAATACATCTCCTGTAGCTGGGGGCTAACTATAATATTAATACTCCTTCAGTAGCTGGGGGACTTACCTGTTATATTAATACATCTCCTGAGGTAGAGGTGAAGGAGCTGTGGACAGTTCTTGACAATGACCTTGAGTCCCTGGTCCTCAAGGGCGTAGCAGTCTGTCATGTCGAGGTATTGAAGGTAAAGCTGACGGGAGTGCATCGGCTCAGGCTCCACCGTTCCCTGTTGTGTCAGGTGGATGCACGTGATCTGGTGACACCCTGTGGATATAAGGAGAAGGGTTTAGTGGCACTGAAGGTATGGCCTATAATGGGTGTACTGTACTCTATCAGTGTGGTAACTATGACGTTCATGAACAGTATGCCTGGCCTACAAGTGAGAGCAGTATGCCTGACCTACGAGTATGAACAGTATGCCTGACCTTTAAATAAGAACATACTGTATAACTAATCTTTAACAAGGAACAATACGCCTGGTACCTGGATGGAAAACATGTACTGCATCAGACAAGTACTCTGGGTACCATGACTGGCTGAGGGTACTAACCGCTCTACCTGATCAACCAATGGGAAACACTACATTAACCAAGAATTCAATATAATTTATCATCTACAAATTATGTACAGTATAGTATATGGTCAAGTACAGTAGCGTTATAGTCAGGTAAGACCTCAGTATGTACTTTTGACTGATTAAGTGATTACAGGTGATACTCAAACATCAAATTCTTTTACAATTGTCCAGGAAAATTCCAGACAATCATAGGCTAGGAGAATTCTGGTTGTGTTTTCATATAAACACCAAAACAACGTAATCAAAGCGAGAGACCAATCACAAACCAGAAGACTCACCGCCTGCACTACTTAAAGAGAACCTCATCTGTAGTATCAATCTCACCTGTGACGTCGAGGTGCTCAAGGTTAACACACTGCGTGACCAGCTCAAAAATACCGACGTTGGTGACATTGACGCAACCCTTGATCTCCAGGTGTCGCAGTTCAGGACACCGTCGACCAATCAACGACAATCCTCGATCAGACAGTCGAGAGCAGCTGTTGAGAATCACCTGGTGGGGAGGGAGAAGTGTTAATTACTCTTACATGATAAGGAAGGAAAGATTTAGTTTATTGGAGTATTCCTGAGGGTCATTCAAAGGTAAAGTTTTAACATACAAAACCGAGATATGATTCCCACAACAGAATTTCTGCTTAATGCCGTGTTCGCTGACTGTGTAGGAGACAACATTACTTTTATTTGTGTGACGTAAATAAACATCATAAACCAAGGCCACGAAAAAAAAAAAACTAAAACCATTGTCGAGTGACTGTCTGTCTAGGTATAAGAAATAAAACAAAACGAATCATTTGAAAACAGTCCAATATAAAAGCCAAGATTACTTTTTTCTTCTTTCTCTTAAGGTACAGCACGAGGTAATGGAAGGGGAGCCAACTGATTTAATCTCGACACTAATATATCTACTCAGACGGGCGTGGCTTGATACACAGAGATAAAGCCAACCCGGGAGTAAGTGATGTTGGGGCACTAGTGTTGTGTTATGGGTGTAGGTGGGTGTAGTGTAATGACTTTTGTGGGTAGTGTTGTGTTATGGGTGTAGTGTAATGACTTTTGTGGGTAGTGTTGTGTTATGGGTGTAGTGTAATGACTTTTGTGGGTAGTGTTGTGTTATGGGTGTAGTGTAATGACTTTTGTGGGTAGTGTTGTGTTATGGGTGTGGGTGGGTGTAGTGTAATGACTTTTGTGGGTAGTGTTGTGTTATGGGTGTAGGTGGGTGTAGTGTAGTGACTTTTGTGGGTAGTGTTGTGTTATGGGTGTGGGTGGGTGTAATTCTTTTGGGTATAGAGGGAAGACTAAGTAACGTAGAGGCAGTATGATGAGTTAAATGTAGGTACAACTATAACATAATCTAAGAAATGTTTAATCTAATTCATGACACCTGGGTAATTACCACTGATAATCAATAGATGATACAGGTCAGAAGAGGTAATTAATGGATAGCAAATATAACAGGTGTGTAATTAACACACCATAAAAGTAAACAGATGAAAGGTGTTTATAGGTATAATGGAGGTATTGGTGAACAGTGTGGATGGTGACTGACCTTCTCGACGTGTACACAGCCGCCGGAGTCCCTGGCCAGGAGTCTGGTGATCTGCTTGATGGCTCTGTCGGCGTGTATGGCCTCACTGGCCAGGGTGATAGTGGACCAGAGCCGCGGGTCCCACGCCAACACGTACCAACGTCGACACACCCGAGCACACTGACACACCGAGTTGGTCGGCAGGAAGGACAAGATCCGCACCACCAGTTCGTCGCTTAGTTTGTCGAACGGCGACGACCGCGCCACCCGTTTACCTTTGTACGTGGCCAGCAGCTGGTCTGTGCTTTCCAACTGCTGCTGCGGCTGCGGCGTCGTCTGCTGTTGCTGTGGGGGCACCTGCGGCAGCTGCGGTCTCGGGGAGGACCGCGGACACGACGACAATGCAGACAGGTCGAGTGCGGGGAAAGGCGAGGCTCGCACGTCAGACCAGGGCGAGGGCGTGGTACGATCTCTGGTGGGCGTGGTCCGGTCTCTAGTGGGCGTGGTTCGGTCTCTGGTAGGTGTGGTGCGGTCCCTGGTGGGCGTGGGGGTCTGTCTGGTGACGAGGGTGTGGTAGCCCAGGTCGTGACCGGGACTGACACGCCCCAAGGTGCCGCCGCCCACATAAACGGAGGGTGACATGCGGCCCAGTTTGGTGGCGGCGGCAGGGCGGCCCTCCATGGCTTGCGGGCGAGGGGGTGGCGGGCTGAAGGGCGGCGGGGGCGGCGGGTCAGTGGCGGGGTGGCAGCCGGGCGGCGCCTCGCCCACACCCTCACTGTCCTCGTCCTCTCGTCCGCCCTCACTCACGTCTGTAAACATAAAACAACATCACTTAATAAACCAACAGTCTATCTCACTCTTCCTGATTTTATAACAACCGTGTCCCTCAATCCATCAATATTTACTTATCCATCCACCCAACCATCCATCCATCCATCCATCCATCCATCCAACCATCCATCCATCCACCCATCCATCCATCCATCTTCAGCACAAACAACAACAGTAAAAACACCACATAAGCCACTAACTCCACACATCTGTCCCTTTGTGTCTGTCAATCTCACTCTCCACCGTCCACAATGTGGGTGGAAGAATTAAACACAAACAAACAAACATATAATAAACACACACACACACACACACACACACACACACACACACACACACACACACTGTAAGCAACCTCTCATTACACCAATACAAGATCCAATTTCAAGAGAAAGCGTAAACAATTCTTTTTCTACCCATTAATGTCATCATCTCTCTAACTGGCCAGAATTAATCACCAATTCATTATTTACCGTCACACAACTCCTAATTAATATATAAATAATTAACATTGGTCACATAAATAAATTTTTTTAATATATAAATAAATTACTTCGCCAGATATATAAATTGCTTAATTACATATCACCGCGTGTGAGATGCAGTTGCCACCTAATGTTAAAATGGGGGGGTTAATTTTTATTTTCTGGATGCGTGTGTCAGCTCAATGTCTGTCTCTTTTGGGCTGATTAACGTGAGGGAGTTTTATTATTATTATTATTATTATTATTATTATTATTATTATTATTATTATTATTATTATTATTATTATTATTTAAATACGTTTCATTATATTCTATACCTAACCTAACTTAACCTACCCTTAACTTAACTTTATCCAATCTACCTCTAACCTAACCTAACCCGCCAAATCGAAATTTCTCCTGGTTTAACCCACGGTCTTATAATGCAAATTTAGGCCCGGTTTTGAGTCCGGACCCGGTAATATAATCAACTTCATTACAAGATTCAGGGATTCGTTTAAGGTTTCATTTCAGGGATTAATTCAGGGAATCATATAAGGATTCATTTCAGGGGGTTCATTTAAGGATTCATTTAGGGATTCGTTTAAGGATTCATTTCAGGGGTTCATTTCACTTAAGGTTTCATTTCTGGGGTTCAAAGGTGGCACGATACCTTCTGAAGCCGACGATGTGTGTGTGTGTGTGTGTGTGTGTGTGTGTGTGTGTGTGTGTGTGTGTGTGTGAAGAGAATTTATCCCTTATACAAAAAAAACAACTCAATAGAATACTGGATTAATCTCATATTAAAAAAAAAGTCACTGGATTTACCTTATATTCAAGTGTCAGCCAAGCACACACACACACACACACACACACACACACACACACACACACGCACACACACACGCACACACATAACTAACATACATGAATATAAATAGAAAAATACTGGTTTCTCATTCTCAAAAGCTCGCCACAATGAGTCTTCTTCCTCTTGAAAGTTAAAACAATAATAAGAATCTACCTTACTGATTCACTTAACACACAACGAGGTTAAACGTACGATACACACACACACACACACACACACACACACACACACACACACACACCCAAAACGTTAAAATTAAAAACACTGAGATTTAAGTAGATACGTTTGTTTAACTTCTAATGAACGTAACTTAAATGAATCATAGGAAAGTTGTTTTATCTTACGTTCATTTTCGGTTTTTTTTCGGCAGGGAATTAGGTTAGGTTAGGTTAGGTTAGGTTGGGTCAGGTTAGGTTAGGTTAGGTTAGGTTGGGTTAGGTTAGGTTAGGTCAGGTTGGGTTAGGTTAGGTTGGGTCAGGTTAGGTTAGGTTAGGTTGGGTTAGGTTAGGTTAGGTTAGGTCAGGTTGGGTTAGGTTAGGTTAGGTTAGAATACAGTCACACATCTTTAGTTACGCCGAATATTCACTAATAGCGAATCACTTTGAGTAGTCGAACCCAGGGCTTATGGTTAATTGTGGGAGAGGAGAACCAGTTAACACGACCAGTCTCTCAGAAGAACCAGTCAACACGTCCAGTCTCTCAGGAGAACCAGTTAACACGACCAGTCTCTCAGAAGAACCAGTCAACACGTCCAGTCTCTCAGGAGAACCAGTTAACACGACCAGTCACTCAGGAGAACCAGTTAACACGACCAGTCTCTCAGGAGAACCAGTTAACACGACCAGTCTCTCAGGAGAACCAGTTAACACGACCAGTCTCTCAGGAGAACTAGTTAACACGACCAGTCTCTCAGAAGAACCAGTTAACACGACCAGTCTCTCAGAAGAACCAGTTAACACGACCAGTCTCTCAGGAGAACCAGTTAACACGACCAGTCACTCAGGAGAACCAGTTAACACGACCAGTCTCTCAGAAGAACCAGTTAACACGACCAGTCTCTCAGGAGAACCAGTTAACACGACCAGTCTCTCAGGAGAACTAGTTAACACGACCAGTCTCTCAGAAGAACCAGTTAACACGACCAGTCTCTCAGGAGAACTATTGTACACGACCAGTCTCTCAGGAGAACCAGTTAACACGACCAGTCTCTCAGGAGAACTATTGTACACGACCAGTCTCTCAGGAGAACAAGTTAACACGACCAGTCTCTCAGGAGAACTATTGTACACGACCAGTCTCTCAGGAGAACCAGTTAACACGACCAGTCTCTCAGGAGAACTATTGTACACGACCAGTCTCTCAGGAGAACCAGTTAACACGACCAGTCTCTCAGGAGAACTATTGTACACGACCAGTCTCTCAGGAGAACCATTTAACACGACCAGTCTCTCAGGAGAACTATTGTACACGACCAGTCTCTCAGGAGAACCATTTAACACGACCAGTCTCTCAGGAGAACTATTGTACACGACCAGTCTCTCAGGGGTCACTTCGGGGGTTCAGAGGTGGCACGATACTGTTCTCTCTCTCTCTCTCTCTCTCTCTCTCTCTCTCTGGTGGTGGTGATGGTGACTAAGAGGCCGGGTGGTGGTGGTGGTGGTGAACAGCAGGCGGGATGGTGAAAGCCGTGAAGCACCAGGTGGGAGCTGAGAACGCCGCGCCACCCTCCAGAGAAAGCTGTTCCTCTCTCCTGTGATCAGCTGATGTCTCTCCCTCACACCTTTCAATGAACAGCTATTTCTATTTACTGTACTTTGTCTTTCCCTAATTATGTTTTTTCCTCCAGGACAAATCTCTCTCTCTCTCTCTCTCTCTCTCTCTCTCTCTCTCTTTGTTCTTCTCTTTCTCCCTTTCTCTCACTCCTCTCTTTGTTTCTCTTTTGTACCTAATAATGTCGCCCGTTCCCTTTAGACTTTAAACACCGGACCCAAAAGTTTGTTCCTCTACCCAATAACACACAAGAACAACTAATATGAACACACCACAAATTATACAGTTTTAGCTCGTCTATGAACCAAGAAATACGGTAATAAAAACACAGATGTTTGGCCAATAACGCGCGAAACGAATACAGGTCGAATGCGCCCCAAAAAATTATCGAAGCTAAAGGAATCATAAACACAGTACAGTATTTAATAACATGTAAGGATGATTGACTGTTATTAATACTCCCCTAAAACATATTCACCTACTCATAGCGCGTCCCCACGAAGTGTTTTACTTTTATCTGTAAGTACACGATAATGATTTGAACAGAATGAACGCACCAAAACACAGCAACGCTCACCTGAAGTTATCGGATCTCAACGAGTCTAAGTAAACGTCAAATACCCAGTAACACACAAGATTCATCGACAGTACAATCGCGCCAAAACATCCGAGTAAATCTTAGCCTGCCCACCAAGCACGAGGCCTGCAGGTACGGGCGGGAGGCGGGTATGTTCCCCAAGACATTCTACTCTGGTGCTACAAACGAGAAACGTTTTTGTGGAAACTGTCAATGAGTTGGCAAGTTCTGGCGATGACAGGAACGAGTTTGCTGCTCCTGATGAAGACAGACGAGTTTCCTGGTGAAGACAGGAACAAGTTTGGTGCTGATCTCGGTGGAGACAGGCGAGTCTCAAGGATTTGGGCTGAAGATAGGATCAAGTTTGATGATCTTGGTACTTGGTGTTTCAAGAGTTTTGTGAAGACCGAATCAAAGTTTGGCGAGATTAGAGACTAGAGTATATGGGTAATGTCACTGAGGACACAAAACAAAGAACTAGTGTAAAAAACTAAAACAAGCAAGCCCTTAAAGTAATGAGAAACACTAAGGTACCAGAAAGATGCTGGAGGCCTTCGAAATGTGGTGTTATAGACGAATGCTAAGAATAAACTACACTGACAGGCAAACATTAGCAAAACCTTCAAGAAAAATACTTAAAATGTACAAAAAAAAAAGGAAAAAAATACGATACTTCGGTCATATAATTAGTGATGGGGGAATAATAACAGAAATATTAATAGACAAAGTTGAGGGGTAGGAGAGCAAGGATGGACGAATGAAATAAAAAACTGGGTCCCCGAAAGAGATACAAAACCTTGGAGGATTGGTAAAAACAGCCCCCAAAACGTTTAGAGTGAAGGACGGTGGTCGCCAACCCTCAGATCAGTTCACATACTAGGATCAGATCACACTAAGCTCACTTGGGATACTTTGAGATTAACTAGTAGAGACTTATGGTAGTGAGGACCTATGGAAGAAAAACAACAGAAAGTGTAATGAAAACAGTAAACAGAAACACCAATAAATGAGAAATAAAGGAAGAGGATAGAAGAATAAGGAAGATAAATATATGATAAAGACGTTTAAGAGAGGAGAATTGGGAATAAACAGGGAATGAAGTAGAAGAGAATAACAAGAGAATTGGGAGTAAGTAGGAAGAAAAATAAAATGAGAAATGTGAAGAAGAGAGGAGAAGGAAGAAGATAAAGAATAAGAAATATGGTTGAGGAAGATGGTGAGAAAGATGTGAAATAAGAGGAAATGAAACAGGTAATCTATCACTAGCGGAGGTAGACGGACTATAACGGATTAATA